TTTCTCCGCCTATCTCTCCCTCTGAGTATTTCTTAGTACTACCAACAATCAATACGAAACTAACGATTTTAAATTGGCTCACTACTTGACTAGTCTATTGGTCCCAAGCAAATCGACTAACGTATCCCATTCTAGTATAAATTCCAGTACTACACTATGTTTGTTTTGATTCGCTATGAAAGTTTGACAAATAAAATGAGGGGTTAGTGGATTTTCCTATATTTCGAGGGGTGAATCGATTAGCTTGGGACCGAAGTTAGTACCAGAGCTGAGCCAAAAAGTTGAGCTCGTTTCTTCGGGACCTTCTGGTCTTCTCTATGATTTAACCGAGGGCAATTCACTGCTCTCGAGAATGAATCGAAGATACGTTTATGAAAAAATACACAAAAATTCATCATTACTCGTCATTACTCAAAAAAATGCAAAAAAATACAAAATTCGGAAAAAAAAATACAAAAATATTCGACGAATAATAAAAATACACGATAATTCGTCATTCGGACGAAAAAATCGAAAATATGTACAGTCAAAATGCTAAATTCGAACAAAATGCGTAAATTTATTATTTTGAATTTTAATCCGAGCTCGAATCACAAAACAATGCATTAATGAGTAGAATTTCACCCATTTTTAAGAAAAGTGCCTTAAATCATTTATTAAATAAAAAAAACATTTTGAGTAGTTGTGAGCTACAAATAAGTAACGATTATTCATTAATGCGTAACAGATCCCTAATAAAAAATAACCATAAACGAACGATAACCCAAATAATTGAACTTTTCCACTAATGGTTTGGAAGATACCCAGAACACGTCGTTAAGCAAAATAACCATAACAATTTTATTAGGGATGCTTATTAATGCGTAATGAGCGAGGTAAGGGGCTGTTAATAAACTACGTAGACAATTTAGGGGGGATGGCAATTATCCGTGGCCCATACAAATTTTAAAAATTTTCTCTGGACAATTAATCATGTTTTGTTGTTTTTGACATCATCCACATCCAGAGGGCCAGTCACTTTCGAATGTATGGGAATGGTAGGAAACCATTTGGAAATGCATGAAAATTTTCAGTTTTTATTCATTATCGTCTTTATGGGCAGTATTAGATGCACAAAAATTGCACGAGTACATTACTTTGGTGATAAGGTAAACACTCGTTTATTTATTTCTTTCTGTGAAAGCATGTTTAGTCACAAATCGTGGATTTTCTGATATTCTCCATACTGCAAAAATGATTTTCCTACCACTGAAGGAGCGACATCTCGCGGATCTTCAGTATAGCTACTACTCAAATCATATAATTAATTGTCTACGCAGGGTTATAAGGGGGGAGGGCGAGGAAACCCAAAAAACTGTCTACGTAGTTAATAAACAGTTCCTAATGAGTTAATGAGTTAAGCCTATTTTCTTTAAAATGGGTGAAATTCTACTCATCAGTGGGTATTTAAAGTTAGCGCACAGACAAACAGACATAACACATTTGATATTTCCCACTGTAAAACATCGTCGCTAAAACATTACCGCCATCTGTTGAGTACACTGTGGTGGGTAGTACCATAGAGGTAACTCTAAGACCACTGGGTCCCGAAGAAAATCATTATTATTTTTGGCTCACTCAGTACCAGAACAACGGTCCCAAGCTATTTCACTCACCCCTGCATGTTCTGCATGAATCCACACACCCCTGATGTTATCTGTCAAACTTTCATAGCGAATCAAAACAAACATAGTGTAGTAATAGAATTTCAACTAGAATAGGGTACGTTAATCGTTTGCTTGGGACCAATAGGCTACTAAAGTGGTGAGTCAATTTAAAATCGTTAGTTTCGTATTGATTGTTGGTAGTACGCTGAACAGATGGCGGTAGTGTGTAAACGTCAAACGCAAGGGAATTGACTATGCCCGCCACAGGTGGCGGTACTACCAACTACGATACTTCTAAATTGACCGTTAAATGCTTGTTCGATGAACAACTTGCGAGTGTTATGTCTGTTTGTCTGTGGTTAGCGTGTGTTGTGCATTTGTCAAACAAAACGTCAACATTGTGAGTTTGATCCGTTTGATCCTCGGTTTGAGTGGTAAACATAAACACTGAAATGACAGAATACACTTATAACTGATTTCCAATACATTAATGCATAAAAATACACTTTTATTTTTCTAATACACAAAAAATACATATATTAAAAAAAATACAAAAAATACCTTATTACACAAAATACACGTTTATTCGATAAAAAATACTTCAATACGCCCGCATAAACGGGAACCATCACATGACCTTACCGATAATGGTTATAAATTATTTATAATCCCTGCTAAACTTCAACTGAAATGGTTATGGAACTTTACATGAACGTTTGTGTGATAAAGTTTTAACCTTATGTGTTATGGTTTTTTGGAAGCGGACCTTACAAATAATGGGTTGTTAAGAACCATTAACATTCCAAATTCTTGTTTTCTCCATACATTTTCGGAAAGAGAACTATATTAGAACGTTTTTACTTATGGTTTGAGAACATTAATGGTTATGGTTATGGTAGTCAGTAAGGTCCATTAATGGTTTTGTATTATCACTCAACTTTACGTGAAATATATCGTGAATTGGTAATCAGTAATTTACAGGCAACCAATTCGCGATATATTCCACGTAAAGTTGATCGATGTTACAAAACCATTCATGGACCTTACTGGTTACCATAACCATTACCATTAATGTTCTCAAACCATAAGTTAAAAGGTTTTAGTATAGTTTTCTTTCCGAAAATGTATGGATAAAACAAGAATTTTGAATGGTAATGGTTCTTAACAACCCATTATTTGTAAGGTCCACTTCCAAAAAACTATAATACTTACACACTATTTTTATTTCGCTGGAAACCAGCAAAATTTTGCTGGATTTTGCCGAGCTGGAAAACCAGCAATCCATCCAGCAAAGTAAATGTTGCTGACAATCCAGCAAATGGTTTTTGACAAGAGTTTGCTGAAAATTCAGCAGTTTTTATCTAAGAAGATCCATGACATTTTGCTGAAAATTCAGCATTGATTAAACAGTGTTTTTTTCAGGAAGTTTCTTTGTATTTGAGTAGTCAAATTATTAAAAAAAAAAAACATTAGGAAAATTTATCTATCTTTCACTTTTTAATGTTAAACTAATCCACAACATTTAAAAACATGTAGTCATCTCCATAAGCCTTGTCTTGTTTACAAATCTTCCAAGATCATATGGTCGAAGATTCTTAACAACCTGTGAATAAAGGTGGTGTCATTAAGGATAATATGTCTTCGCCTAAAAATAATCTTACCGTAGTAGTTACGAAAGAGAAACTATTATCCAACATCACAAACTCTGAATACTTTGTCCGCCTTCTCTATTGATAGACCATGCAGCTAATACGAAAAATTACAAGTTCTTTTGACAGTTGATTTTTGCTCTGATAAACTGTGTGTTCAGCAATAACAAATATGTTTGCTGATATTTCAGTTAATATTATTTTGCTGGACCTTCTTCAGCAAACTATTTTGCTGGAAGAGGATATCAGAATTTTGTGTGTAAGGTTAAAACTTTATCATTAAACGTTCATGTAAAGTTCCATAACCATTTCAGTTGAAGTTTAGCAGGGATTATAAATAATTTTTAACCATTTTCGGTAAGGTCAATTTATGGTTCGCGCTTATGCGGGCGTTCATCAATACGTTGGCCTGAATCGAAAATACACAAGTGAATCGCCCCTCGGATTTAACTACAAATGTGATTGAAAATAGTGGAAGAAAATGGTTTGTGTCTACAGTCGCAAGGGAACGGAACGGAACGGTTTGTTTACAAATGCTGATGGGCCCTTTTCTATTGTTAATCCAGACTTATCAGCAGAAAATCTCAACTACACTGAAACAAAATCCATTGGTAAAAATGCTATATTTCTGGTTTAAATTGAATACCTTCACCAATAGATTTTTGCAGAAAACAATTTCATTTAATTTTACTATAATGTCTATCAACATTACTATGCATTTGAGCAAGCATAGTATTTTTGCGAGAATCGTGGTAATTTTGTTAACATTCATACTCAACTATACTGAATTCATAGTAGATTTAACGGTAATAAGCGTGGTTATATTGAAAATAAGTGTTTTCTGCAAAATAGTATTCCTAACTATGGTCCTTGTTTCAGTGTACAGCTAATAGTCAATTATACGATTTGATTACTGGTTAGAGTATGGTAATTTCCTGCACTAAAAATTATTACAAAACGAATATAGATTAAGTTTTATGCATTTTACGGTTTTTCAAAATTTATACATTGGTTCGATTAAAATTTTCGTCAAAATTATACTAAGTCCGAATAACGGAGTGGAATTCGATCAGTGTTTACTAAAATGACAGGAATAAGAACATCTGGATTCCCTTCGAAGCTTCGTGCTGGTGAAGGGCTTTGTCCCAGCGGATTTCTACTGCGCCTGTAATCTGCTGGGCAGCATCGAAATTGTAAGTATTTTTTTAAATATTATTAATAAAAAATAAACTAATGAAAAAAGCTTCCTGAGACAATTTTTATTTTCATTTGAAAACAATAATATTTACCATAAATGAAATAAAGAAGCGAAAAATACATTCTCTTGAATAAACCGTATCTATGCATTGTGAGTATGCTTCGATTTTATACTATGGCACGCATAAACCATTTTTATACTAAGTTTGCATTCTCTCCCTTTATACCAACATTTGGGTCGGTACGGAGAGTTGCTATTTAGCGTAACTTTTATACTATTTAGATTTCAATACTTTTTGAGTGTGGGATTGAACTGCATACAGTATATTTGGTTTCTGTCAACCTTGTCCTTAAAGTTTATTCATAAATGGTGAAATCCCTTTTTCCGTGCAGACGCAGCCATATGCATGATCGTTTGTTTACAAAACAATTTAGACGATGCAACAGTTGCAAGCTACTTTTCTACTGCTGCAGCAACAATGTAGCTACAACATTTTTTTGAGTAAAGGCTAAAGTACCTTGTGCTAAAGTAAATTACATGCATGTAATTTACAATGTCCAAAAATCGAGCAACAAAATCTAAAGTGTTTATTGTAAGTGAATCAAACAAGGTGAAAACGAATGTCGATCCAGTTAAAGATAGTTCGCTGCACAGAGCTAATGACCAGCAAGACAAACTGGAGAAGCAGAACGAGGTTCATAACCAGCCGCGGAAATCTCGACAAAGTGTTTCGGCACAGAACAACTCCAATCGAGAGAAGGTAGAATTTTGGAACTCGGATAATGAGCCAAAACAGAAAGAAGATGTTCGAAAAAGAGGTCGACCTCGGAAGCCGGTAAAACCCTCGGGGGAGAAGAAGGTTTGTACGTCATACAATGTTCTGTATATCCTTCCTAAGTCAACAGTTATGATCCTCGTTCTATTTAATCATCAATTCCAGAAACCAGGTCGACCCAAAGACGAAACGAAATGCAATATAACTTGTGATATTTGTGGGAAGTTCTTCAGACATCGTTGCAATTTTATAATCCACGAACGATCCCATTATGGAATTAGGGAATTCGAGTGTGAGTACTGCCACAAGCGTTTTGTGCAGAAAACTCAACTTAATGTGCATCGCAGGCTACACACTGGAGAAAAACCCTTCAAGTGTCCACACTGTCCAGATAGCTTCCGAGTTCAGGCTTTACTGGACGGTCATGTCTTTAAGCACACCGGGATAGGTACGAAGTGCCCCCAGTGCCAATCGATCTTTCCCACGCCGGCACAAGCCAAGCAGCATATTCGGGACGTTCACGCAACGGAGAAGTCGTACGTTTGCCAGATCTGCGGTCAAAGCTACAAGATGCGAAGAAGTTTGAAGATTCATCTGGAGAACCATGACAAGCGTATCTGCGCGGTTTGTGGAAAGGTATTCAACACGATGCACGCTCTAATGACCCACCGACACATTCATGAGTTTAATAAAAAATGTAACTATTGCAATCGGTCGTTTAAGTCGGAGGAAGAACTGCAGGCGCATAGTAAACTCCGAGGGCGCGTTTATCAGTGTGATATGTGCTGCTACAGTTTTAATAAGACTGAGTTTTTGAACAATCATAATCGAAGGGATCACTGGAAAGAGATGGGTCTGGAACAGCTGCCCAGGAAGAAAGCCAAACCGGAAGACTGCAAGGTTCAGGCTGGTTTGGCCACAGTGGAGTATCCTGCATTGTCATCTGCAGAAACGAGTCAGCACGCAATGGAACCTTTTGAATCCACCACAGTGCAATCTGACCTACCGTCAGCACCAGCTTGGTGTGCAAACGTTGGCTTAGTGTCTCCAAAAATGGAACAATTAGACAACCAAGTCTACATTACTCATGGTGAGAATGAGACCCAGACTTTCAAACAAAATATCTCAGAAGAAGTCGATTGTGAATCGAAGGTAGAAGTTAAAGTCGACACAGAAGTTGTTTCTTCTTTCAAACCCGCAGAGTTTGTCAAAGTGGAAATTTATCAAGAGGAGGATACTTCGGCACCAAAGGAAGACCCAACAGAAAGCAGACTGGAGGAGAAAGAGGATAATGTGTCGGACAGTGAAGACGAAGAAGTGCCGTTGGCGGTGAGTAGCTTTTTCGATGTGTTAAACCGCCATCAATTGGATGTTGTTTTACAGATACTTGTTTCTCGACAACCTGGAAGGCTGCCAAAATTAGGCCTTACCAAGATAAAGAAGGCAGCTGATAACGATCGCCTGATGAAATCACCAGAGTTTTCGGACGATGATGATACCCCAACCGAGGAAACTAAAACGAAACGAAGACGAAGACGGAAGTACGATGGCGTAGGCCCTCGCAAAAAAATCTACCGAAAACGGGATATAACTTGTCGGTTTTGCGGTGACGTCTTCAAGGGACAAGTAGCCCTTAGGGAACACAAAAAATCCTCCCATCCGGATGCGAAGCCATATATAAAGGCCAAAACTGGGGTAATTTCGATGATCCTCTTTTCAATTCGGATAATTCGTAATATTTCCTCTTTCAGCCGGTGATTTGCGAGATATGTGGAAAATCCTACAAAACCACACACTCCCTAACCGTCCACCGTGGTCAGCATGAAGAATACCAACGGTTCAAGTGCGACGGTTGCCCAAAAGCGTTCATCTTCCAGTCCCTCCTCGAGAACCACAAACGAATGGAACATCGCCAGGAACGGCATATTTGTCCGCTCTGTGGCAAACAGTACAAGTACAGCGTGGATCTAAGGCACCACCTGCTGCGGCACGAGGAGGAAAGGCCGTTCAAATGTGATAAATGCCCGGCAACATTCACTCATTCCACTGCTCTGCATGCCCACAAGGCTATCCACAGGCAGGCAGTGTTTACGTGCACTATTTGCGATAAGAACTTCCGCTTTGCCAGTAGCCTACGGGTGCACAAACGACTCCACAATAGAGACAATTACATTCGGTGTGAGCTCTGCGAACGAGAATTCAGCGAAAAGGCTCTGCTGAAGAAGCACATGGCAATCCACTCGGTAGATCGAGAGGTGAAGTGCATCGTTTGTGATAAGATTTACTACAAAAAGTCCGAGTTGAAAATCCATCAGGCAAAGAAGCATCCGAACAATCCGCTGATAGGAAAAACGATCAAGATTTACAGTTGCAACGTGTGTTGCATGGAGTTTACAAAAGATAGTCATCTGAGGACGCACTCGTACATCCATGGGACGGAGTACAGCTTCAAGTGTGATATGTGCGAGGATCAGAAATTTAAACAGAAAGCTGGACTGCGGAACCACTGGATACGATTTCATCATTTGGAACCTCCAAAAAGGAATATGCGAAAGCAACCGGAAGCCAAGAAGGCGATAGATCGCACGGTGACCAGTGAAACTGTCAACTGTTCATGATGAAGGTAAAGGAGCATTCCCCGCTCCCAGGTAACTATTCAAACTTCAGTTGGTGGTGGTAGCTCTTCTTTACCCTCTATTTCCAGAATAATTAGTACTGTAAATATCTACTGTGATAATCCAATGCATCTACATAGTAATACTTTTTTAGATGACACCTGCCCTGCCTCTATCAGCATAGTTGTCCCATTCGTTAAAACAGCAAGCTGGGAACACCCCTGTTGGAGATTTTTTTCCCAATGGGCTCTTATGGACGGGACAACATAGTTTTGGTATTTTACGCTACATTAGGAAATTTTTCGTGTGATGGTGCTTGACAATCGGTTCCAATACGTATAACTCATTTTCGACAAAAATGCAGTGCCCTTGGCTTATGCTTCAACAGTTTCCATATTGCAATTTAAAAACATCTCTACGAAGTTTTCGCGAAATTCACCTCTGGACATTCCGCATCGAACGTTCGATTGTTTCGGTCTAGTGTTGCTTGCACTCCGTTATCAGTACTAGTTTTTTTCCCTATTGAGGTTTTTTTTCAATCCGCTTTCACACTGAGTGGTGTTATAGTATACACAAGTGTAGTGAGCATCGCGGAATTGCATTTGCCGCACAACCGTTCGAGAAAGGAAGCAGTCATTTCCGGCCGAGTCCGGCAGATGAGCTGTTCATCTTTAGCCAACAAATTTCATCGCATCACGCCACTGCAACATCAAGGTCATCGAGTTCACCTGCCGGCTAGCCACCCGGTGCTTTGTTGAAAACACTCGAGGGCAACAATAGAACGATCATCACCACCATCCTCACATCAGTAGATCATCGTCATCAGCCACACTCCGTGCGCTTGTGTGGAGAGTTAAGTAACAAACGGTTATCTTCCGTTCTCCGCAACCTGATTAATCTCCATACAGCGTTGATTAACTTTTCTGACACCTTTTTGTTTTTTCCTGAAAAAGTTTTCCTTTTTTTTCTTTTTCACTTTGGTTTTTTTTTTGCTATTAATTTTTACTGATTAATCTCCTTATAGTGTTGATTAACTTTTCTGACACCTTTTTGTTTTTCCTGAAAAAGTTTTCATTTTTTTTTTCTTTTTTTTTTCACTTACTGTTTTTTTTTTGCAGTCTGATTAATCTCCCTATAGTGTTGATTAACTTTCCTGGCATTTTTTTTTTTTTGCTTTGTTGGATTAAGTATTATTTTACCGTATATTTCTGGGTTAGTTTTTTTTTCTTATATATATTTTTTTTTATTATTATTTTATTTTATTTATTTTTTTTTTGTTTTCCTTACGCATTTTTTTTTTTTTCTTTTTGTTTATGTCGAAATCTGTTGCGGTGGTACTTAAGACCCCGCAATGGATGATACAAATGATGGCGGGGGTATTTCGCTAGCAGATATCTCCGATGATGAGTCTGTTGAATCTCCATCATTCGAAAATCTGCTTCTCACTGAAGAGAAAATGGATACCTCAGGGGACTCTACTTCGGACCCCAAAACGGGCACTGGAGCTTACCCAAAGGTGATGTCTAAACAACAGCCTCCTGCACCCCCTGCCCCCCCTTCTCCACCATCGCCCCCTCGTCCACCTGTTCCCCCTACTCCAACCGTTCCCTTAAAAATTTCTGCGACCCCCCGCCATAAAGCTTACCCAAGTGGCTCAAAAGGTCCGTGGGTTGTTTTTTTCCGGCCCAAACAAAAACCTTTGAATATTTCTCGGATTTCGAAGGATCTGACAAAACATTTTTCGGCCGTAACCGATATATTTAAGGTGACGCCAAACAAACTGCGCGTTACCGTTGATGACCTGAAACAGGCAAACCGGATTGTTGCCTATGAGCTTTTTACGATGGAATATCGAGTCTACATCCCCAGTTGCGACGTAGAAATCGAAGGAGTGGTCACCGAAGCGAGTCTAACTTGCGAAGATTTCCTTCATGCCGAATCCTTCGGTATTTTTAAAAACCGTGCCCTTCCGAAAGTGAAGATTCTGGATTGCATCCAAATGCAATCAGTGTCTCTCATTGGCACGAAAAAAACGTACTCTCTGTCAGACTCGTTCCGTGTGACCTTTTCAGGATCGGCGCTACCTGACTACGTCGTAATTGGGAAGGTTCGACTGCCTGTACGCTTGTTTGTACCGCGGGTAATGAACTGCTCAAAATGCAAGCAACTTGGTCACACCGCTGACTTCTGCTCCAACAAACCGAGCTGCGATCAATGCGGCGAGCTGCATGCAGATGGTCCTTGCCGGGCTACCCCAAAATGTGTTTACTGCAAGGATACTCTGCATGCTTTGGTTGATTGCCCGAAGTACAAACAGCAGGGAGAAAAACTTAAGCGGTCTTTGCAAGCTCGCTCCAAGAGGTCACTTGCAGAACTCTTAAAAAACACCGCTTCATCTTCCCAAACCACCCCAAAAACCAAAAACACATACTCCATTTTGCCAGATGATGATCAGGGCTCTGACTCAGAGGTTGGTGAAGGTAGTCCTTTTGTCTTTAAAGGCAACACGAGAAAGCGATTAAAAAAAAACGTCACTCAAAATCCGCGTAAGACCTCTCGTATGGACTACCAACCTACCTTGACAAATTTAAGAGGTAGCGGAAATGTACCGAAACCCCCACCACCGGGATTTAAATCTTGTAATTTTAACAAGGACTTTCCGCCACTTCCGGGATCATCTAAAACCCCAGATATCCCAGTTTTTCAGCCAGAAAAACAGCTGAATAATCAGCAAGAACATGATGCCATGTTCACGTTTTCTGAAATTGTGGAGAGCATCTTCAATATATTCAACGTCTCTGACTCAACTCGGAACATTATTAATTTAGTGCTTCCATTCGTGAAAACTCTTTTGAAGCAACTAGCTTCTAGGTGGTCCTTCCTTGCATCGATCATATCTTTTGATGGATAATTTTCCGAATGAGGTCGGGGATATGATCTCTGTTCTTCAGTGGAACTGTAGAAGTCTTATACCGAAACTTGACACATTCAAATTTTTAGTTCACAACTCACTTTGTGATGCATTTGCTCTTTGTGAAACATGGCTTTCTTCAGACACCGATCTCCCTTTCCACGATTTTAACATTATTCGCCTTGATCGAGCAGATTCGTATGGAGGGGTGCTTCTCGGGATTCATAAGCTCCATTCCTTTCATAGAATCGATCTGCCTTCCGTGACAGGCATTGAAGTTGTCGCATGTCAGGTAAATATTCGAGGTAAAAGCCTCAGTATTGCCTCAGTATATCTTCCTCCAAGAACTGCGATTTCTCGCCAAGGTCTCTCAGATATCTGCTCAGCTTTATCTGAGCCTCGGTTGATATTAGGAGATTTTAACTCCCACGGTACAGGCTGGGGGGAACTGTACGATGACAACCGCTCAACCCTGATATACGACCTTTGCGATAACTTCAATATGACAATTCTAAACACTGGGGAAGTAACACGAGTGGCCAAACCTCCAGCAAGAAAAAGTAGATTAGACCTCTCCCTCAGTTCGAGTTCACTATCGTTGGATTGCTCGTGGAAAGTAATTCAAGATCCCTACGGTAGTGACCACTTGCCAATCAAAATTTCTATTACCAATGGTTCATCTTCCACTCGCTCGGTTGACATCGCGTACGACCTCACGAAAAACATCGACTGGCAAAAATTTGCGTCCGCGGTTCTCGGTGGTACTGATTCGGTTGAGATACTCCCTCCGCTGGATGAGTACTCCTTTTTATCGCGACTTATCGTTGACTGCGCTCTTCAAGCACAGACGAAACGCGTTCCGGGTGTTTTCGTTCGCAAACGACCTCTCACTCCGTGGTGGGATAAGGATTGCACCGACGCGAACAGCGAGAAGTCCGCCGCGTTTAAACGTTTCCGCAAACACGGTAAGGTCGAGGATTTCGAGCGGTACACCGACCTCGAGAAAACTTTTAAGAGCTTGATTAAAGCCAAAAAACGCGGTTACTGGCGTCGGTTCGTCGATGGTTTGTCGAGAGAGACTTCCATGAGAACACTCTGGAATGTCGGCAGGAGAATGCGCAACGCGTCATCACCGGTCAACGAAGACAAGGAGTACTCAGACAGTTGGATATTCAGCTTCGCGCGGAAAGTTTGCCCGGATTCGGTGTCGGTTCAAACCAACGTTCGTGATAGTCCGTCGGGTAGTAACGAAATAGATTCTCCGTTTTCGATGGTGGAATTCTCACTTGCTCTCCTCTCATGTAACAACTCAGCTCCAGGAATGGATAGAATCAAGTTCAACTTGCTCAAAAATCTCCCAGACGTCGCGAAGAGACGCTTGTTGAACTTATTCAATCAATTTCTGGAGCACAACATTGTTCCGGATGATTGGAGGCAAGTAAGAGTTATCGCCATTCGAAAACCCGGTAAACCCGCGTCGGATTATAACTCGTACCGTCCCATCGCGATGCTGTCCTGTATACGGAAATTGTTGGAGAAAATGATTCTTTTTCGTCTAGACAAATGGGTCGAGTCGAATGGTTTACTTTCAGATACGCAATTTGGATTTCGGAGAGGCAAAGGAACGAGCGACTGTCTTGCGTTGCTTTCAACTGAAATTCAACTGGCCTATGCGCAAAAACAGCAAATGGGTTCAGTTTTCTTGGACATTAAGGGGGCTTTTGATTCTGTTTGTATCGATGTCCTTTCGGATAAACTCCACGATAGTGGGCTTTCACCAATTATGAACAACTATTTGAGCAACTTGTTGTCTGAGAAATATATGAGCTTTTCTCATGGAAACTCAACAACTTCACGAATTAGTTACATGGGTCTCCCCCAGGGCTCATGTTTAAGCCCCCTTCTTTATAATTTTTACGTTAAAGACATTGATGGTTGTCTTGATGAAAATTGCTCGCTAAGGCAGCTTGCAGATGACGGCGTTGTGTCCGTTATAGGGCCAAGTGCACCGGACCTGCAAGGACCATTGCAAGATACCTTAGACAATTTGTCTACTTGGGCTATGAAGCTGGGTATCGAATTCTCTCCGGAGAAAACTGAGTTGGTTGTTTTTTCTAGGAAGCATCATCCTGCACAGTTACAGCTGCAACTAAAGGGTAGAACAATCACTCAAAGTATATCTTTCAAGTATTTAGGTGTCTGGTTCGATTCCAAATGCACATGGGGAAAACATATTGCGTATCTAAAACAAAAATGCCAACAAAGAATCAATTTTCTTCGTACAATTACCGGAACTTGGTGGGGAGCACACCCGGAAGATCTTATCAGGTTGTATCGAACAACCATCTTGTCGGTTCTAGAGTACGGTAGCTTCTGCTTTCAATCCGCAGCGAAAACACATATCTTGAAGCTGCAACGAGTTCAATACCGTTGCCTCCGAATCGCGCTTGGCTGTATGCACTCGACGCATACGATGAGCCTCGAAGTACTCGCGGGTGTTCTCCCACTGACAGATCGTTTCGCTGAGCTGTCTTTCCGGTTCCTTATCCGTTGTGAAGTATTGAATCCTTTGGTAATAGAACACTTTGAGAAGCTGCTCGACCAAAATCCTCAAACAAGATTCATGAGTTTGTACTATGAGTACATGACGCTGGAGGTTGGTCCTTCTTCATTAATCTCCAATCGTGATTGCTTCCAAGCCTTCTATAGTTCCTCTGTAAATTTTGATCTGACCATGATGCAAGAAATCCATGGAATACCAGATCACCATCGGTCGATGGTTGTTCCCTCAATTTTTGCAATCAAGTACCACCATGTAAGTAACGATAAAAGATTTTTCACAGATGGGTCAACCATAAATGCTTCCACTGGATTTGGTGTATTTAATCAATTTCATAGCGCCTCCTATAAACTGCAGAAACCATGCTCCGTATACGTTGCGGAACTCGCAGCTATATTTTACGCAGTAGAGCGAATTGCCTCACTACCTTCTGACCATTATTTCATTTTTACGGATAGTCTTAGCTCATTGGAGGCTATTCGTTCAATGAGGCCGATGAAGCACTCCTCGTATTTCCTGCCTGAAATACGATCTAAACTGAGTGCTTTATCTAACTGCTCCTATACTATCACCTTAGCTTGGGTCCCATCTCATTGCTCAATTCCGGGTAATGAGAAAGCGGACTCATTGGCTAAGGTGGGCGCTATGGAAGGCGATATTTTTGAGCGACAAATCGCCTTCAACGAATTTTTCTCCATTGCTCGTCAGCAAGTCCTCATCAGTTGGCAACAAAAATGGAATGATGGTGAATTGGGAAGATGGTTACATTCTATTCTCCCACAGGTGTCGAACAAACCATGGTTCAAAGGGTTGGACATGAGCCGCGACTTTATACGCGTTATATCAAGGCTTATGTCCAATCACTGCTCGTTAGACTCGCACTTCTATCGAATTGGGCTCTCAGGCAGCAATTTATGTGCGTGTGGCAGTGGTTATCACGATATCGAGCATGTTGTTTGGTCGTGTACCTTACACCGTGTTGCCAGATCTGAGTTATCCACATCCCTCAGGGCCCGAGGAAAACAACCCGCGATACCCGTTAGAGATGTCTTGGCGACCCGAGACCTTGACTATTTGAATTTAATTTATGTGTTTTTGAAACGGATAGATTTGAGGATTTAGAAGTTAGTGTCATCTTGTGTTTTCCCAAGTTGTTAGCTACCCATCGGTGTACCCCCATGTTTGTCTTTTTCATCAGAGTGTCGCCTAGTTCGAGATCAAGAGCACATTGCTCTCCAAACCTTGTGTTCACAATCCCTACCCTGCCATCCATTTGTTACAATTTGTTACCCCTAACCTCGAGATAGCCGCGAGTAATCGGCCCCCGCTTTACTAACGTTAGTTTTAAGTAATTTTGTTATCTAAACAATGAATATCGGCTCCGCAAAGCTACAGCAAATGAGCCTGGAAAAATAAACGAATTATTAAAAAAAAAAAAAAAAAAAAAAAAATTCACCTCGCAAGGCACACAACTTGCTTTATTGATACAAAATAATCAAACTGCCTATAAACCGCTTCAAGTCTAAATTATTTGCTTAATGATCATGGTCATCACCCGTGGGGTTTTCCTCCGTGGCAACTGGAATCAATCGTTTCTTACAAATTGAGCACTTGAAACTAATGAGTTTCATTGCACTGCCTAGCTTGTGTAGCTTTTCGGAATGTTCACTCAAAAGGTGCTCCTTTAGCTGTTTGCGTTTATCGGATTTTACCCGGGGACATAAACGGCACCCTAATAGTTCATAATACGGAGGAGGTAGCAATTCGCACCGGTAGTGTCTTCTTTGTTGAATCAGATTATGCGTTGCTACGTGTTCCATCATCGCCGAACGGTTATCGTGTCGCATTGGACAAACTTGGCATTGGTATGTGCGCCGATCATAATTGCCATTTAGTAGCTTTGTTGACACTGTTCTGTATCCTTTGCATACTTTTTTCAAAATGAACTTTTTAAAAATCTTTGCATGATAAGTCGGACTGGGGATACAGGTATGTTTTCTTCTCGGTTTTAGACGTTTTTTTAATACCGATAATGAACTTTTTGTTAGTCCTGAAATCTGCTCTTCATTATCCACTACATCCAAAGGTTCATGTTTGATCACAGATGTCGTGTAGTCTCGAATTTCCTGTCCTGTGCTTACCGGAGAAAATGATTCATCAGGTTCCGGTTCGGTTTTGATTTGTCGCTTGTTGTCCGTTATTTCCACACAAGTCGTTTCCTTCGTATTCCATTCATCCAGCTTAACTGTAATCCATTCCAACGTATGGTTATTACCATGATTCAGTTCTGTTTTTGTCTCGTCTTGAGTCGGTGATGAGTCCAGCGTATACAGCTCATCGATTTCCACCTTGATCCGCATGGTTGTCTCCTCATTGGCAGCTGCTGGCATGGCTAGTGTGGTGGAATCGGGTGGATCACTTTGAATCCGCCTATTTGGCCGTATTGGACGGGGTAAAGGTCTTTTGGGAATGGAATTCTTGCCGTAGTACTGGCGTGGATTTGGCGGACGATTCTGCAGAGGATGTCGAATTTAAAAGAGACAAGAACTAGAATATTGCACTCATTTACCAAACAATATTCGATTGCCTTTTGCTGTGCTGAACTGTTGATAAACATTCTGACAATGCGATTATTTAATAATTTAACCTAATTTAAGACGTAACATAAACCATGATCGTACAATGAAATTCAATAATTTAATGTTATTTTATAATAATGAGATAGTAAGGGTAGTAATGAGTCTTTGTTAATGTTTTGAGGCTTGCACCGCCATAAAAATAATTTTTAATATTAAATATTTTGTTTACTCCGAGGTCGGCTCTTATGGCTGCGTACTATTGCACGCCTATCGAAAGTAACTCAGAGACTGAGTCAAGTTGACTCACTCTCTTTTTTTTTACCATACAAGTTTTACTCATAGCAAATTCGTTTATTAATCAGTTTCAATTCACAATAATTAATTATAATATATAACAATAATAAATTATTTACTGCTCTCGATTAGTGAATCGAAAATATCTGAACAAAAATTCATCATTTCTCATTATTTAAAAAAAAATGAGGCAATTAGGAATTTGTAAAAATACCCAAATCTCGATGAACATTTCAAATGGTCCTATCTGCTTTGATCGATTCTCTTCATCGACTTTCTCTTTTCATAACCACTGCTATGCAAACAGATTTCGCGCTAATTCTACCACATAGTTTGATAAAGGAGGTTCTTATCTAGCGTCCAAAACGTCAAATACAACAGGGAAAGGTTTTGCAACTGAGGCTGTGAACCATTTGCCGAGTTAAATTTAACTCGTGGTTAAAAGTGACATTTCGAAAGTTATTTTCTATGTTCGAAAATCCCCGTGCTGTCGATCGACCGGTTTTCGACCCAAGGTTGTCAAAATTTAACTTCTTGTCTGTCAAAAGTAACCACGCTCGGATAGCAGGGTTAATCGATAACTTTCCATCTGTCAAATTTTAACCAAAAGTTAAAATAATCCACCAAATGGTTCAGAGCCTGAGTTATTAACGAAAGAGAAAGTCGATGAAGAGAATCGATCAAAGCAGATAGGACCATTTGAAATGTTCATCGAGAAATATTCTACGGATAAAAAAAAATAAACGATAATTCGCAAGATAATTCGACATTACATGAAAAATGTCCGACTTATTCGAATATTAGTCTAGAACTAACATCAAGTCAAGAGCAAACTTTCATTATGTCGAAAGCGAGGTCGAAAGTAACATTCGCACCGATCCGAGAAAAATAAAGTTTTGTTTTGATGACTGAAAAGTTATTCCTATTTCTAAGGCTGTGAACCATTTGCCGAGTTAAATTTAACTCGTGGTTAAAAGTGACATTTCATAAGTTATTTTCTATGTTCGAAAATCCCCGTGCTGTTGATCGATCGGTTTTCGAGCCACAGTTGTCAAAATTTAACTTCTTGTCTGTCAGAAGTAACCACGCTCGGATAGCAGGGTTAATCGATAACTTTCCATCTGTCAAATTTTAACCAAAAGTTAAAATAATCCACCAAATGGTTCAGAGCCTAATTAAACACATCTCATAGTGATAGCAATGTTTAACATATTACGCAGGAATCCTGATGAATGTGGGCGTCTTAGTGGAATACCTGTATAAAGAGAGAGAGAGATTAGTAATTTCCATTTAATTCCACTACCTTATTTGCTTATCCTTGACACGCGTATTTCGTGCAGACTAAGTCGAGTATTAGTACAAGACACTGAAGAAGTCTGGGCACATCGTAGACGAAATACGCGTATCTGTCAAGGATAAGCAAATAAGGTAGTGGAATTAAATGGAAATTACTAATCCTTCTCTTTCTCTCGTTATATTAACATACATTTATTTGTACAACATCACATTTAAGATAATACATAATCAACAATAGTACGCCACAATACTCGGTTTGCGGCTGCTGCTCTCGATCCTCGGTCATGCCCAATGCTCGCTAGATCACGCTCTACCTGGTCCGCCCATCGTGCTCTCTGCGCTCCACGCCTTCTTGTGCCAACCGGATCAGTAGCGAACACCAACTTTGCAGGGTTGTTGTCCGGCATTCTTGCAACATGCCCTGCCCACCGCATCCTTCCGGCTTTGGCCACCTTCTGGATGCTGGGTTCGCCGTAGAGTGCAGCGCGCTCGTGGTTCATTCTTCGCCGCCACTCACCGTTCTCCTGCACACCGCCGAAGATCGTCCTTAGCACACGTCGCTCGAAAACTCCGAGTGCTTGCAGGTCCTCCTCGAGCATAGTCCATGTCTCGTGTCCATAGAGGACCACCGGTCTTATTAGCGTTCTGTACATGGTACATTTGGTCCGGGGGTGAATCTTTTTTGACCGTAGTTTCTTCTGGAGTCCGTAGTAGGCACGACTTCCACTGATGATGCGCCTTCGTATTTCACGACTCACATTGTTGTCAGCCGTCATTAAGGATCCAAGGTAAACGAATTCCTCCACTACCTCGAAAGTATCCCCGTCTATCGTGACATTACTTCCTAGACGAATCCTATCATGTTCGGTTCCACCTACTAGCATGTACTTTGTTTTTGACGCACTCACCACCAGTCCGACCTTTGCTGCTTCGTGTTTCAGGCGGGTGTATAGTTCTGCCACCGTTCCAAATGTTCTTGCGATAATGTCCATGTCGTCCGCAAAGCACACAAATTGACCGGATTTCGTGAAAATCGTACCCCGGCTGTTGAGCCCGGCTCGTCGCATTACACCTTCTAGAGCAATGTTGAAGAGTAGGCATGAGAGTCCGTCACCTTGTCGCAGTCCCCGGCGAGATTCGAATGAACTGGATAGTTCACCCGAAACCCTTACGTAGTTTTGCACACCGTCCATCGTTGCTTTGATCAGTCTGATCAGCTTCCCAGGAAAGGCGTTCTCGTCCATGATTTTCCATAGCTCTGTGCGGTCGATACTGTCGTATACCGCCTTAAAGTCGATGAACAAATGATGCGTTGAGACCTGGTATTCACGGCATTTCTGGAGGATTTGCCGTACGGTGAAGATCTGGTCCGTTGTCGATCGGCCGTCAATGAAGCCGGCTTGATAACTTCCCACGAACTCGGTCATTTTAGGTGATAGATGACGGAAGATGATCTGGGATAGCACTTTGTAGGCGGCATTCAAAATGGTGATCGCTCTGAAGTTCTCACATTCCAAATGGTCGCCTTTCTTGTGAATGGGGCAGATTACCCCCTCCTTGCACTCCTCCGGTAGCTGTTCTGTTTCCCAGATCCTGACTATCATCCGGTGCAGGCAGGTGGTCATCTTTTCTGGGCCCATCTTGATGAGTTCGGCTGCGATACCATCCTTACCAGCTGTTTTGTTGTTTTTGAGCTGCTGCTTTCCTCCATTGCGCTGGTCTCCCGTGCTTACGTTCTCCTCGCCATTCAGGTGCGCATCGAAGTGCTGCTTCCATCTTTCAATCACCTCACGTCCGTCCGTCAAGAGGCTCCCATCCTTATCTTTGCACATTTCGGCTCGCGGCACGAAGCCGTTGCGGGATGCGTTGAGCTTCTGGTAGAACTTCCGTGTTTCTTGGGAACGGCACAGCAATTCCATTTCCTCGCACTCTGCTTCTTCCAGGCGGCGTTTTTTCTCCCGAAAGATGCAGGTCTGCTGTTTCCGCTTCTGTTTATACCGTTCCACGTTCTGTCGGGTTCCATGCTGCAGCATTACCGCCCGCGCTGCGTTCTTCTCCTCCAAAATCGCTCTGCACTCCTCGTCGAACCATTCATTCTGTCGACTTCTTTCCACGTACCCGATGGTGCTCTCGGCTGCGTCGGTGATGGCTACTTTAACTGTACTCCAGCAGTCCTCTAGAGGGGGCACATCGAGCTCGCCCTCCTCTGGCAACGCTGCCTCGAGATTCTGCGCGTATGCTAAGGCGACATCTGGTTGCTTCAGTCGCTCTAGCTTGTACCGTGGCGGGCGTCGGTACCGTACATTGTTGATGACGGAAAGTTTTGGGCGCAGTTTGACCATCACCAGGTAGTGGTCAGAGTCGATGTTAGCGCCAGGATAGGTCCTGACGTCGATAATGTCGGAAAAGTGCCGTCCATCAATCAGAACGTGGTTGATTTGTGATTCCGTCTGCTGTGGTGATCTCCAGGTGTAACGATAGGGGAGGTGGTGTTGGAAGAAGGTGCTACGTATGGTCATGTTCTTGGAGGCGGCGAAATCGATGAGTCGTAGGCCGTTCCCGTTCGTCAGCTGGTGGGCTCTGAACTTTCCAATCGTCGGTCTGAATTCCTCCTCCTGGCCTACCTGAGCGTTTAGGTCTCCTATGATGATCTTGACGTCGTGGCTTGGGCAGCAATCGTACTCGCGGTCGAACTGCGCGTAAAATGCGTCCTTGTCATCATCAGTGCTTCCGGAGTGAGGGCTGTGCACGTTGATTATGCTAAAGTTGAAGAATCGGCCCTTGATCCTCAACCTGCACATTCTTTCGCCGATCGGCCACCAACCGATCACGCGCTTATGCATTTCGCCCATCACGATGAAAGCTGTGCCCAGCTCGCGTGTGTTGCCGCAACTCTGGTAGATGGTATGATTACCTCTGAACGTTCGCACCATGGATCCTGTCCAACACACCTCCTGCAGCGCTACGATGCCGAATCCGCGGTCCTTCAGTAGATTGGCGAGTATTCGGGTGCTCCCGATGAAATTGAGACATCGACAGTTCCACGTGCCGAGTTTCCAATCGCAAGTCCTATTTCGTCGCTGGGGTCGTTGCCGTTGGTCTCGGTTCGTATTCCTCTGTTGCTGATTTTCCGTTGCAATGCTTTTTTTACGGCTGGCTCGCAGGGCCTGACACCAACCCCCTAACTTTCCGGAGGACCAGGGTGCACAGTTGTGCTTAGAGTCCTTCACTGGCACTCGGACTTAGATCAGCCGCCCCTAACATGGGAACAGACGCTGTTGTGAGTCGCTCCTCCTGGAGAACAGACGCTCAGGCTTGCCGAAGCAAACCCCCCCCCCCCTCAACCTATGACCAAAGTTCCCACCGGGGTTGGTTACCCGATCTTCCCTAAGGTTGCTCACAGTTCCGGCCGGTACCACGGGGAGGTAGGGATAGGAGTTGCTGGGAAGAGGCTAGTGATCTCAATGGGATCTGTATTGCGCATTACCCAGCATTAACCGACCCTCTTTATATTAAGCAGGGTTCTAATCATACAAAGCTTTCATGCTAAAAAATACTGGTTTTTGAGTCAAAAGTTATTATACGTCGTTTGGTGGCCCTCAATTGTTACTTAAGTCAAAGTGTATTTACCAGGATATTCGGGAGAATTTTAAATCACGTCTCCTTACGTAAAGCCCATTCGTCATCTTAGGACCACCGGAATCATCTTAGCAACAAACAGTTCGATTTATTCACTTTAATAATGAGAAAGCCTCGGAGAAAGCGTTCGTCGGTACACTTTTCACGGGTTGCTCTGCTCTGGATAAACGGCATCTCCATACCCGCATAAACAATAACTATACACCTAACCACCAATTCGGGATATCATCCCAACTTTATGTTGTATGGTCGTACCATCTATGATATCGCTAGTGTATGGTGACTTAAGTAACATCGAAAAATATTTTGATCTGAAGGTGATTATCGTGACCGGACCGAGGTTTCCAGCCTCGGTCACGGTTACACGAATCTCGGCTGATTTGCTTCGAATACTGCTGTTTTATTACTGCTGCTGCTGCTGCTGCTATTTGGTCTCCGTTGCTTCCAAAGTTAGTTACAAGAATGCCCTCTACGAGACTTTTGACTTTAAATGATCTTTATTTCTTCTTGAATTTGTGTGGTTTACATGTCAAGAGCAAATTTTCATTATGTCGTAAGTAACATTCGCACCGATCCGAGAAAAATAAAGTTTTGTTTTGATGTCCGAAAAGTTATTCCTATTTCCAATTAAACACATATAATCTCATAGTGATAGCAATATTTAACATATTCAGCCGGGTTTTAATCATACAAAGGCAAATCGCTAGCTTTCATGCTAAGAAATACTGGTTTTTGAGTCAAAAGTTATTATACGTCGTTTGGTGGCCCCTATTGTTACTTAAGTCAAAGTGTATTTACCAGGATATTCGGGAGAATTATCAATTACGTCTCCTTACGTGCAGCCCATTCATCGTTTTAGGAACTCCGAAATCATCTTAGGGTACGGCCAGGGTAGACGCGATTCGCAACGCGACGCGACCAATTCAAAAGAATCTTATTATTTATTATTATTCCTTGCGTGAGTCGCATCGCGTCGCGTCGCGTGTCACGTCTACCCTGGCCACGGCCTTAGTAACAAACAGTTCGATTTATTCACTTTAATAATGAGAAAGCGAAACGACGAAAGTACACTTTTCACGGGTTTCTCAGTGCTGTTACTTAAGTCAAACGGCATCTCCATAGAAATTGGGTGACTTAAGTAACATCGAAAACTATTTTGATCGGTAGGTGATTACGTCAAAAAGCAATTTGACTGGTAAATAAATTTAAAAATGGGATTTGATCCTATATTCGGACAGTATATAGTGTAATAGCAGGAGAATCGATTGACACTGATAGCTCGACTTTGTTTACCTTTGTTACATTCGACGTAATGAAAATTTGCTCTTGATGTATAACTTATCAAGTGACACAGATGCATCTTTTCAACAACAACAACTACACCTAACCTACAACTACTATATACACCTAATCTACTATATACAAATTGCTTTTCAAAGCATGTTCTGATAAAATACATTATTGTGCAAATTTAGTCTTAATTTCGTTAATTCTGGAATCTATTTTGGAAATGCCTGCCTCTTCGTGTAAATTTGTTATTCTAGTGTCGAAAGGACGATCAAGTACCATCCTCAGCACTCTATTCTGAGCGACCTGGATGTTGTTCCTGTGAGTCTGTGCACATGATTCCCACACCGGAGCTGCGTAGATTCCCACACCGGAGGTGCTATGATTTGTTTATAGACAGCCAGTTTGTTCACCCTTGAGAGGCGGGATTTGCGGCAAATCAGCAGACACCTAACCAAGGCAGAACACGTGACTACAGTTTTCTCTACATGCGAACGGAAGAGGAACTTTTCATTGAACAACATCCCGAGATAGCTTATTTCGGCAGACCACTCAACCCTTGTGTCATCCATGGTTACAGTACAAGAGGGAGCCGGTTTCAGTTTGGGCGATTGCCGATGGAGGAACATGATCGTTTGAGTTTTGGAGGCATTGATTTTGATTTTCCACGTGGTGGCATAATCAGCAAAGGCGTTAAGGCATCGTTGAAGTTTGTTCGTTATTTCGCGAGGCATCCTTTTTTTGACGGCTCAAAGGAATGTCGGAAGTGTAGATGCTGTAAAGCAAGGGGCCTAGCAGACTGCCTTGCGGGACTCCTGTTGGGATGGAAAACGTGTCTTTGTACATCGATTTTTTTTTCTTTTTTCGAAGCAGAGATGAGCTTCCTTTCTTTGGAATTAGGCAAGAGAGAGGAAGATGGAGGGGAGGAATAAATGTACCTAAAATGATAAACAAACCCGTGTTTGCGTTTTAGCCCATTCAGGTGGCCCCACGTTGGGCGCCAATGTTGCATGATTTGGATCAGATTTTAGCATGATCTATTTGATTTTGAGGCACGGGCCACATTGCCAGAGAAAAGACAACGTTTTCTGATCTCGTAGCGCATTCAAAGCGTGTTTCGTGTTTTGACCTTGCCCCATAAAAAATTTCACCGTCAACTAATATGCGAGTTTGTAAGTTTCGTCGACAGATTAATCAGTAGATAAAATTGGGTGCGGTATTGAAGATCAAAAGTTGGCCCTAGTGGCGAAAATAAGAACTATTGATATGATGATGGTTTCAACATTTCTAGAACATCTCATTTGCCCGTGTAAACAGACAAGCTCCCCCCCCCCCCTTTCTTTTCCCTGCGTATATGGGTCGTATGATATTAGTCTAATTAAAAAGGCAATAGAGATTGAGGTGAATTTTCTGAAATTCTAAATGTTCCACATTTTCCTGTTTTACACTCCGTTCCCAACATCGCACTCATTGTGAAACTCATCGAAAGGTGCTCTCACAGCTGCATTTGCTACCCTTTAGATCTTCTCTTTTGGTTTCTTTCCCAGATTTCTCTTGGCTGGCTCCATTTGATGAAAATGCTGCCAATGGTAACGCAGCCCAGTTTTCTGCTTAAACTTCTGATCTTCACACATATCACACTTAAACTTATACTCGTTGTCATGGATGTCGGAGTGTATTCTAAGGTGACTCTCCTTCGTAAACTCCATCCCACACACGTTACAGGTGTGAACCCTGATCGTCTTTCCAATCAGTGCATGATTCGGATGCTCCTTCGCCTGATGGATGAGAAGCTCGACTTTCTTGTAGTAAATCTTATCACAAACGACGCATTTTACCTGCCGATCTATCGAGTGTATTTTCATATGCCTCGTCATCGCTGCCTTCTGGCTAAAGTCTCGCTCGCAGATCTCACACCGGAAAAAATCTCTGCTGTGAAGACGCTTATGCAGCCGCAGGCTAGTTTCGTACCGAAAGCTTTTGCCACAAATGGTGCATGTGAACACCACTTGGTCGTGGACCCCTTTGTGGCGTCGCAGGGAAGAGGTTTGACGGAACGCTGCGGGACATTTCTTACATTTGAAGGGCTTCTCCTCCTCGTGCAGTAGGGAGTGATATTTCAGGGCCATACTGTACTTGAACTGCTTGCCACAGAGCGGACAAATATGCCGTTCCTGGCGATGTTCCATTCGTTTGTGGTTCTCAACGTGGGACTGGTAGACGAACGCTTTTGGGCATTCATCGCACTGAAACCGTTGGTATTCCTCATGCTTGCCGCGGTGGACAATTAGGCAGTATACTGTTTTGTACGTCTTTCCACAAATCTCGCAAGTCACTGGCTGAAAATGGGAAGATTGTAGATTATCATAAATGAAAAGTACCATCCACGAAATTACCCCAGCTTTGACCTTTGCATCCAGATGAACGGATTTCTTGTGTTCCTTGAGGGCGGTTCGTCCTTTAAAGACATCACTGCAAATCGGACAAGTCATGTCCCGTTTCTGGCGGATCTTTCTACGAGGGCCTTCGCCGTCGAGCTTCCGTCGTCTTCGTTTCGGCTTGGAGTTTTCAGCATCAATATGATCTTTCTCGTTCAAGTTGAGTGAGGAATCCTTGGTGACCTTTGGTCGTTGTTTCTTCTTACAGTCGAAATCGATTTTCTCTTTTTTCTTTTCAGTGATTGATTTTACTGTATGACGCGGAATTAAACGTAAAACCTGTAAAAAGTATCAAGAGCGTATTAACGGCGATCTTGAGTTGCAAATCTGTTTACTTACTGCCAATGGCATCTCATCATCGACTTCACTATCGGTCGAATTCTCCTTTTTTACTTCCAATTCCTCCGGTTTACTTTCTATTGGATCTTCGTTCTGTAGCGGTGCGTCCTCGTCTTGATTCTCTTCTGGTTTGGCCGTTTCGGTAATCTCTACTTTGACGAAATCACCGGGTTCTAGGATAGGAGCGGTTCTATAACATTTTCCCGAAAATCATTCACCAGAAAATCATTTCCCAGAATGTACCATTCTCCATTATGCATTAAATTCATTATGTAATTTTAGGTTCTATAACATCCGTCCGAATACCAAATGAGTGTCACAAAGGCCCAAAAGTCCCTCGACATTTTCCCTAAAAAACTATCGGCCGTGAATTTGAAGTAATAAAAATTGTGTAGTGGAATTGTATGTGGATTGCGTGACGGTGACCAAATGGAGTTCCACTCCTTACAGTTGCTGGCAAATAGTGGAGTTTTTGAATAAGTACAGCAGTTTTTTACAACCGGTGCTGACGCACAGCTATAGTTATACAAAAATAAATAAATATTTAAGCAACTAGATGATGCTCATTAAATATGCCTCAATCAAGCATTGCACTTCTGCTTGATTGAAAATTTCAATACATGATCAGTGGTTTATTAACATCAGTAATGTATCGGTGCGGGCCTTATCGTGTGTGAAAATAGCTTCAGAATGCTTGCGTTCTTAAAATGGGCTATTGGATCTGTGGTACAGCCACCGACAAACCGACATGAAGGCCCATAGCAAAAATGTTCGCGGGAAATATTTAGCTAAGCCATGAACCTGCATGCAAAAGTTATGAATTGGTTCGTGTCTGATCTATTCTGGACAAATTATTTTAATCTAGATCCAAAAATCCTATGGTTATGACAGTTCGTATCACTGCACATTTAAATTGGTCGTTTACGATTTTCGGGCATAAGACAGAATTAAGTGTCATATCGGTTTGTCGGTGCTATTACCACCGACAAACAGACGTAACTCTTTGAATAAAATTATCTTCAAAACATGGTACCGCCAAACATAGGACTGCAGTAACGACATCTCGCGGGCTTCTCGCAGAAAACAAGCTTGCTCACTGATTCGCAAACAATGTTGCATGCAAGAAAAATCGAATATATAGAAACGTCAAAGTGATCCGATGCCAGCGCTGCGGCGAGTAGTTCGCGAAAACTATCGCCGTTACCCTGTTCTTCGTGGCGATGAACGGAGTCTTCCGTCAACTACCGAAGAACATATATGTGTTCGTCTACGCCTACGACATCCCCATCGTCACCACCACGTACAAGGATGAGAGCCCAAGCGGCAGTCTCCGCCGTCGCCAGGTGAGCCCACTCAGTAGGCTTTGAATTATCAACCTCTAAAAGCATCATGGCACCTGATGCCCTTCTCGACACAGAATTAGCGGACCACCCTCAACTTTGAACAGCATTTCAGTGCAGTCAAGAAAAATTTCCGCAGCCGAGTGAATCTCATCCGGATTATTTCCCGACAAAATAGATCGAACAACCGCAGCATCCGTTTTCACGTGGCGAGTGCAATTATCGACAGTCGCCTTCTATACGGGTTGGAGATGACCTGCATCGCAACGGATAAGCTTTTACTACGTTAGCACCAGTCTACAACACCTACGTCCGGATTGCCTCTGGCCTGCTACCATCCACGCCCGCTGACACTGCATGCATCGACATCCGGAAATCAAGGAATCTTCCTCCTCGACGAGGGGAACAGACTCCTCCGCACGGCTGCCAACGAAGATCTCCCCCCATAGTGGCCAGGGTCCATTGGCATGGAGACAAATGCTGGCAAACACCATTACCGAAAATCGAAAGCCGGATTAAGGACAGGTTCAAAGCCGGAGACAATTCCGTGGCCATGAAAAGGACTGTAGCTGATATGTAAGGAGAAAAATATCCCACGCACACTCACCGATACACGGACGGATCTCGCTCTCGGGCCGGGGTCGGTATCGGTCTAGCCGGAAACATCACACCAACCAGCTGCAGCTTGCCGCCGCAATGTTCTGTCTTCTCTGCTGAAGCTGATGCCATCTTCATCGCTGCTACAACGCTCTCCAACCGACCGATCCTGGTCCTCACGGATTCGCACAGCGTCATACAAGCCCTGACATCCGAGGCCCCGACTCATCCCTAGGTACAGGCGACGATGAAGTCCGCGCCACCAAACACGGTATTCTGCTGGGTTCCGGGGCACTGCGGAATACCAGGCAACTCGGAAGCTGACTTTTTGGCTGGGGCAGAACCATCTGCCCCTGGCTATACTAACGAAGAACCGTTACACGATGTCAAGCACTGGATCGTGAGCAAAGTACGGGAAGCTTGGGACGCAGAGTGGGCTCAAAATCGCTCCCTCTTCATCAGACGTATCAAAGGGACGACGAGGAAATGGACAGAACAGTTGAACCAGCGGGATCAGAAGATGGCGTCGCGTTTGAGGACCGGTCACACCAACTTACTTTACTTAAAGGTCCTGTGCACCACCAGCGGTGCAAAGGGCCAACGTGAAAGACTTCCATTCTGGGCGGCTGCTCGCTTTTGCCTTGACCTAGGCCCAGGTCAGATTCCTATCGACTTGCTTAATTTCCTTATTGAGGCTCCGCCGCCATGAGCCCCTGGGTCTGCCTCTGCTGCGATGTCCTGCCGGATTCCAATCCAGCGCTTGCTTGCAGATTTCGTTTCCGCCCCGTCGAAGTGTGTGGCCGACCCACCTCCACTTTCGCTCTCGAATTTCTGTTGCTATCGACTTCTGATGACATCGACGATGGAGCTCGGCATTCGAGATCCAGTTGTGAGGCCACCAGGCACGAATTGTGTACCGCAGGCATCGGTTGATGAAGACCTGCAGCTTTTGAGTGTTCTCCGCTGATACACACCACGTGTCGCTGGCGTATAACAACACAGATTTCACGTTCGAGTTGAAAATTCAGTGCGTTGACTTATCTGGTTGGATCTCCATACGTTTCGTAAACTCGCAAAGGCAGCCCTTGCCTTCTTGATTCGTGCACCTATGTCGCTCTTGGTCCCGCCGTCCGACGCTATTTGGCTGTCAAGATATTGGAAACTTTCGACCTTCTCCACTGCTTGCCCCGCTACCGTAAAGTTGAAAAGTCTTGTTGACGTTGATGGTGAGACCCGCCGCAGAGGAGCGTTCGGCTAGGTCATTGAGCTTACTCTGCATATCAGAGCGCCGTTGTGCTAGTAGAGCAACATCATCAGCCAAATCGAAGTCGTTGAGATGCTCCATGGTGATAGGCTGCCAAAGCAGCCCACGGTTCGGTACACGGTCAATTGCACCTACCATGATCTCGTCGATTACGATGAGAAACAGTAGCGGTGATAGTATACATCCTTGTCTCACACCAGTGACTACCCAGATAGGGTCGGACAAGACTCCGTTATGCAGAACTCTGCACGTGAAAGCCCCATACTGCGCTTCGATGAGGTTGACGATTTTATCCGGGACTCCCTTGCGTCTCAGGGCGCCCCACAGATTCTTGTGATTGAGACGGTCGAAAGCTTTTTCGTAGTCAATGAATACCAAATAAAGGGACTCTTGGAATTCATTGATCTGCTCCAGGATGATGCGGAGCGTGACAATATGGTCCACACAAGATCTTCCGGCACGGAATCCTGCCTGCTGCCGTCGGAGAGTCGCGTCGATCTTCTCCTGTTTCCGATTCAGGATAACTTTGCACAGAACTTTGAGAACAATACACAGTAACATGATGCCTCGCCAATTGTCGCACACAGTCAGATCCCCCTTCTTTGGGACCTTCACTAAGATGCCCTGCATCCAGTCGGCCGGAAAAGTCGCGGTGTCCCAGATATTACAGAATAGTTGATGCAACATTTGTGCGGATAGCATGGGGTCAGCTTTGAGCATCTCTGCTGATATGCGATCGACCCCTGGAGCCTTGTTGGATTTCATACTTCGGATAGCTGCTTCAATCTCTTGCAGTGATGGGGCCTCGGAATTGACGCGAGTGATGCGCCGCACCCTAGGTAGATTATGCCGAGATGTTGATGGCTGGTTGGCCGTCGAAACTTGAAGAAGTTGTTCGAAGTGCTCAAACCAGCGTTTCAGCTGGTCAGTGGGGTCGGTAAGCAATTGTCCAGTCGTGTCCTTCACTGGCATCCTCGGGTTCATCCTTGCTCCACTCAGACGTCGTGAGATATCGTAGAGGAGGCGTATATCACCAGTGTTTGCGGCTTTCTCCCCTTCGTCGGCCAGGGAGTTCACCCACGCTCGCTTGACCCGTCTGCAAGAGCGTTTGACTTCCTTCTCTAGAGCCGAGTACCGTTGACGGGCTTCGTTCTTGGCTCCTCTGGTTCTCGCCCGCTTTATCGCGGCTTTTGCTTCTCTACGCTCCTCAATCTTTCGCCAGGTTTCATCTGTGATCCACTCTTTCCTCTGGGTGCGCATCTCACCCAACTGGTTCTCGTTTGTTTCTATAAAGGCATTCTTGATGGCCGTCCAGTGTTCTTCTACGCTGCCACCTTCTGGAACGTCCGCAGCTCGAGTCTCAAGTTCTTGAAAAGACCTTTTTACCGCTGGATCTTCAAGTCGTTATGTTGTGCGTGTGTTGAACCACCGCCCGAGTCTCTCCTCCCGTCGCTGGATTCGCGCCATGCGTAGGCGGATTTCGCCGATTAGAAGGTGATGGTCAGACGCGGTGTCGGCGTTTATTCCGGACATCAAGGCTCCGTCTCCATTTTCGGCTGATGCAGATGTGGTCGATCTGATTTTCGGTATGTCCATCACGGGAAACCCACGTGACTTTGTGCACTGGCCGATGGGGGAAGAGCGAGCCCCCGATCACCATGTCGTTATTGCCACAAAATTCTGCAAACAGTTCTCACTCATTTCGCCGAGACCATGGCGTCCCATGACACGCTCATAGTCCGTGTTGTCGGAGCCGATCTTCGCATTGAAGTCGCCAGTGTAGATCTTGATGTCACCCTTTGGAACCTTATCCACGACGGCATTCAGTTCACTGTAAAAATTCTCCTTGTCCTATAGCTCGGCAGCATCGGTTGGCGCATAACATTGGATTATGGTAAGGTTACGAACCCGTGTTCTAAATCTGGCATCGATTATCCTCTCATTAACACGCATAAGTATTACAAGCAATCAAGAGTTAATGAACAATCAACAAAGCATCCTATTACACTAGTAACCCCGCAATCTGATGCTATCATAATTTTCAGCAATGTCAGGAATGCTCACGAACCCCCAACATTTGCCAGAAAACTTACTACTAACTCAAAGTATCTTCCAAATAAGCTTCAAAATTGCATTTTTTTTTAAATGTTAAATTCAGTCCTCTATATCCGTAATACGCGCGCGAGGCTCAAACCTTTGTAGACTACTTTTTTTTTAAATTAATCTACTATAAAATCATATATTAAAAATCCATCATCACCCTCGTGGCGAACAGAAATAGTTTTTGCAGTGCTACAATAATTATTAAAAAGTCGTTATGACAGCTATCCATATAAAATAATCCGTTAGAGATAACTTCGTCAAGATACATAATTTGTCAATTCATAAAAAAAAATCACTGGATGACTGTTCAAAAGACAGTTTTAACGTGTGAAATGCAGTGTCTTTTAAATTCTGTAAGTGTTGCTAAACGTTTGATATGTCTAGGCATCGAATTGAAAACATTTATTCCTTTATAATATAATGAATTTTGTGAAGCACAAGTCAAGAAATGTGGTGTTCTTATTTCAACCGCGTTTCTAGTATTATATCTATGAAAGTCACTTCCTCTTTCAATTCGATCACACAAATATCGAGGCAGCAAACCGTTAACTACTTTAAAAATGAACATTATAGTCAAATATACAATTCTTTGCTTCACCGACAACCATTGTAAGGCGTCTAACATCAAAGTTGAGGAAGTGAATCTATTACATCTCAAAATCAAACGCATTATTTTATTCTGCAAGCGCTGTAATCTCGATATTTGTGTTGCATTGGCCAGAAATAAAATGGAAGGGCAAAAGTCAAGATGAGGAGAGATGATTGATTTGTATAGCTGTATTTTACTGGCAATAGTTAAATCGTTTTTCAGTCGACATAGAATTCCATACTTCTTGGCAATTTTCTTGATGACATTGTCAATGTGAGAGTTGAACTTAAGTGTGTCATCAATAATCACGCCAAGATATTTAATCTCCCGAACGCGATCAATAGTCTCATCATCAATTACAACAGAGACGTTCTCATTTACTCGATTCCGCGAAATTACCATAAATTTAGTTTTACTTGTATTCAATTTTAACTGCTTATACTTCAACCATCTACTTAGAGAACGCAAATCTTCATTCAAGTGTAAAACGGCATCATCTAAATCCTTAGCTGCAATGAATAACACAGTATCATCTGCAAAAAGATTAATGTCGCAAAATCGTAAAACACGTCGCAAGTCATTAATATACATAATAAATAAAAGGGGCCCTAATACACTTCCCTGGGGCACTCCAAGGGTATTCCCCACGGGACTGGACACAGAATCATTAAAAACAGTCCGTTGAGTTCTGTCAGACAAATAGCTTTCAAACCATTTATATGCAGTACTCGTAATTCCAAAGCGCTTGATTGATCTTAACAATAAGGGCCTAGAAATTGTTTCAAAAGCGCGTTTAAGATCTAAAAAAACAGCAACAATCGTATCTTTACACTCCAAGTTATTTTTCCACTTCGCTAATACCAAATTCAACGCGGTTTCACAAGAATGACCTTCCCGATATCCCGATTGTTCTGGTATCAACAAACTATTACTATTTAAATACTCCAACAGCTGGCCTTTAACAACAAGTTCTAAAATTTTCTCTAATGTGTGCAACATGTTGATGGGACGAAACTCTTCGGCTTTAATCGTTCCAGCAACTTTTTGAATAGGGACCACTAAGGATTCCTTCCAAATTTGTGGCACATGTCCAGTTTGTAATGATTCATTAATAAGGTCCAGCAAGATGTGGCCAATGACATGAAAGCAATCTTGAATAACTCTAGCATTAACATTATCTACTCCAGCCGATTTTCCTAATGAAAAACAAATAACTCTAAGTTCATCTAATGTGATTGGGTGAAAAACTTCAAATCTACAACTACTATTAACTGGCTGTTTTATTTCACGATGGCGGGGAGCGTTTTCACCTCGAATACCAGAGTATAGTAGAACCTGTCCCGACGGCAGTTTGTGTTCTCCAAAGTTTGGCCAATGAACTTCACTCAGTCCCAGGATTTCTAGCTTCATGCGTCGCGCCTCGTTGGCGAGTTGTGCCAGATTACCCTGCTTAGCTAACGTCAATATATTCCATGATCCAATTCGTGTCCGTTGTTTTGCGCTAAAAGTCGTTGCCGTTATATCGGGCGTAATTGCTTTTGTAAACAATGACTTTAGCCGTCAATTTCTCGCGAATGAAATCTTACCTCTCCAAAATTACAATGCAAGCTCTACCTGCTGGTGTCATTATTTTTCATGAGTGAGCTTTTATTCGCGAGAAATCGACAGCTAAAGCCATTGTTTACAAATGCAATTACGCCCCTTTGAAATGTTGGCACTGATTTCAAGGTTGTTGCTTGCCATTGATGAATTGTTCTGTTATACTAACTTAAAATTATTGTGAAATGGTCGGGTACATGGTCCATTCGGGCGAACGGAATTCGGTCGAATGTTATAAAATCGTATTATTCATCAATAGATTGTATATTTCAGTTATAAATTACGAAAAAACTTAATATATAATAATAATAATCAATATAACTAAATCGCGTAGAATATGATAAAAAAAAATAAAAATAAAATATCAGCAAAATTGTATTTCGTGGAATATTGTATAAACCATCTTACTATTCTACTCAATATAGTGAGCACCCTTCCATTAGGTCTGACGATGAGCACAATATACACTTATCATAAATAAAAACATCGAATATTACTTGTAAAAATTGGAGTAATGCTTCCGCAAAATGGCGCGGACGTTAAATAGCCGATTATTATAGAATCAAACATATGGTATAATTTTCTGGGGAATGGTTTTTACTGGGAAAATGAGATTCTGCGGAATGGTTTTCTGGGGAATGTTATAGAATCGTTGCACCAACGAACCAATCTTCACCTTGAAATTCCGGTTCGACCTCGAATTCCATCTGGTTGTCTTTATCCTGATCAGAAAATGTGGGACGCAATGCTAAGGATGAATCCACCACAACCGGTTGGTCGGTTATCTGAACAATTTTGGCTTTCGGTTTTCTAACCCGTGGCAGTCGCACCAATCCCAGCTCTTTCCAGTGAGCCCTCCGATAATGATTCTTTAAAAATTCAGCCTTATTAAAACTGAAACAGCACATTTTACACTGATAAATCCGTCCTCGGAGTGTGGCGTGAGCCTGCACTTCTTCCTCCGATTTAAAAGACCGATTGCAATAGCCACACCTTGGGACCACCTGATGACTCTGCTGTCGGTGTTTCCCCAGGGCGTGCACACTGCTGAACATCTTCCCACAAACCTTGCAGACACGCTTGTCATGGTCCTTCAGGTGAACCGTTAAACTCTGTCGATATTTGTAACGTTCGCCACAGATCTGACATACGTGTGGCTTATCCGTAGTGTGAACTTCTAGGATATGCCGCTTGACGATTGCCTGCGTTACAAACACTGACGGACACTGCGGGCACTTTATTCCCTGTTTGGTGTGCTTGAACACGTGCAACTCCAGCATATTCTGAACTCGAAAACTTTCCGAACAATATGGACACTTGTGGGGCTTCTCTCCTGTATGTATTCGAATGTGTATCGTAAGAGCACCCTTCTGAAGAAAATGTTTGTGGCAGTAGTCGCATTCGAATTCCTTGATCCCATAATGAATTTTCTGATGCTGCTTCAACATGCTAATACGCTCAAAAAACTTCCCACAAACATCACAGGTAACATTCCATTTAGTTTCGTCTTTTGGTCGACCGAGTTTCTAAAATTTAATAAGTGATTGACATTTTTTAAACTGCCTAGAATCACTATAGTGGGTACTACAAACCTTCTTTTCTCCTGGAGTTTTTACTGGCTTCACCCGAGGCCGACCTCCTCTTTTGGGACCTGAGGCTTTCTCCTTTTTCTCCGGGTCAAATTCTTCGTCATAGCCAGATTTTTCAAATTCATTCTGCTTTTCCTGACCTTTTCCACTGTGAAGTGAATTGTCCCCCACTGAAGCATCTAGCTGAGCTTCTTTGAGGTGAGTGACCTCTTTTTGGTATACCGTGGGAACCTCGAACATTGCTTTGAAACTTTGTAAAGCCTTTTTTTTCTCCTTGATCTGATGCACAGTTTTAACTAACAGGCCAATTAATTAACCAATAAAACAACAAAATTTGTATTTAATAACAAATTACAAATTAAGTTTGCAAAAATAATAGCAATATCGTAAACAGGTAAAAACACTTTTCCAGGTGAGTTGGGACATGTATCGAATCAAAATTTGTGAAAGTGGCTGCGTTCAAATGTATCCAAGTGCTGCCAGTAAATTTCATGCTGTACACGTAGGGATGTCGGCTCGGATGTCGGAAATATTTCGATTAATCGAATGATTTGTAATCGACTACCACTATTGAGGCTGTGTCGCCAGAATTAAGTTAAAAATAAATGATTTATTTCAAGTTCGTAATTAACTTTATGAAAGAATATAGATCTTCATTCTAGTCCCATTAACTTTACAGCAATTTTAGGAACTGGAGAAGTTCTGAGGAATGAAAGGAAATGCGGAGAATTTCAGTGAAGCTCTATAAACATGCAGGAACATAAGGGATGTTAACTCGCTGAAAATATGGGACACTAACTGGAAGCTGTAAGAACCTCAAAGCGGTTCTTTTAGCATCCGAGACTTTTCAGGAATTTTTATGAAGTTCCTAGAATTTCAGAGAATTTGAGAAATTTAAGAAAATATGAGGAGAATTGTGCAAATTTTTAAGAAGTTCTAAGCACCTCAGAGAAGCTAGATCTAGAAAACTTTGGGGAATTTCAGATCTTAAGAGCAGTTCCCGTAGCTATAGTCCAGACTTTTGGAGCAGTTTAAAATCTATAATCGTAAATTTAGAAAAATTTAAGATAGTTCTTTGATGTGCTGAGAAACTAATCGAGAATCGCGAATTTCAGGGAAGTGCAGAGACCTTCAGAGAATTTATGAAAACTTCAGAAATGTTTCAGAAACTTCACAGAAGTCCAGAGAATTTCAGGGGAATTTAAAGGTGTGCACGGGAATTCTATTTATTTCCGAGCAGAACCGAGATCTTCAATAGAACCAAGAGTTAGCTTCTTAGAGCTTCGAGAACAAGACAGGTCAGAGAATCAAAGGGCAGTTCAAATAATTCCAAGGAAATATTAGAAACCTTAAAGAAGTTTCGAGAAACGCAGTGAATTTCCGAAAACTTCAGCAAAGCTCCGAGAGAATTCCTGGAACGTGATACAAATTTTATGAACATCCGGAAAACGTGAGATATTTTAAGGGTACTATATCATGGAGATTTCAAGAACTTAAAAAAATGCGAAAATTTAGCTAAGTTGATTAGAGACCATCAACGAAGATTCATAAATAAAAATAAAAGCGAGAACTTTTAGCAAGCAGCGATATCCTCCAGAAATTTCAGAGAACTAAATTTAGATATTTTTTGATAGTTTAATGATATTCAGCGAAGTTCCGAGTACTTCGAGGACGATCATCGAAAGACAAATCAAGCACAAGACCTTCAAGAAAACTAACAACACGAAGTCTGGAAATGGCAATGTTTCATTCAAAATGTCAAGTTTTTCAAGAATATCGGGTGAGACTAATCGGACTGAGCGCTCTTTCGGTCATCTGGAAGGGTTGTGCACGAGGAGCGATTTTAATCCTCCCAGTTTTGAAGACATTCCGGAGCGAGGAGCCATTATTTTGTGTCAGAGGGATGATGGAAGTGGCATATCGAGAAACACAATACAACAAGAGAAGGAAGTAGTATTGAAGGTAAACAAGGAGTACATGGGAACGTCGATAACTGTAAGTATACTGCGATCTATTCTAGGACTCTTGTATAAAACCTATTGTAAACCGGCTAGATCGTAGTCGTCGTCACCGGGACGCATAGTCATGTGAAGATTGCTAGATCCGTGACCACTCATGATAAAGCACACAAGGCTCTCAACATTAAATACATTACTTTGACTGTGATAGCAACAATCAATACGAAACTAACGATTTTAAATTGGCTCACCACTTTAGTAGCCTATTGGTCCCAAGCAAACGATTAACGTACTCCCTTCTAGTTGAAATTCTATTACTACACTATGTTTGTTTTGATTCGCTATGAAAATTTGACAGATAACATCAGGGGTGTGTGGATTCATGCAGAACATGCAGGGGTGAGTGAAATAGCTTGGGACTGCTTGGGACCGTTGTTCTGGTACTGAGTGAGCCAAAAATAATAATGATTTTCTTCGGGACCCAGTGGTCTTAGAGTTACCTCTATGGTGATAGTAGGTGGGTGATCCATATTCTTGTTTTCGTTTGAACCATATTTTCCATACAAAAAAAAAGTTTTTTTGTATGGAAAATACGGTTTGAACGAAAACAAGAATATGGGTGTATATGTTTAGCACAGACAAACAGACATAACAGTCGCAAGTTGTTCATCGAACAAGCATATAACGGTCAATTTAAAAGTATCGTAGTTGGTAGTACCGCCACCAGTGGCGCGCATAGTCAATTCCCTTGCGTTTGACGTTTACACACTACCGCCATCTGTTCAGCGTACTACCCACCACAGTGTACTCAACAGATGGCGGTAATGTTTTAGTGACGATGTTTTACAGTGAGAAATATTCAATGTGTTATGTCTGTTTGTCTGTGTGTTTAGTATTACCAACAATCAATACGAAACTAACGATTTTAAATTGGCTCACCACTTTAGTAGCCTATTGGTCCCAAGCAAACGATTAACGTACCCTATTCTAGTTGAAATTCTATTACTACACTATGTTTGTTTTGATTCGCTATGAAAGTTTGACAGATAACATCAGGGGTGTGTGGATTCATGCAGAACATGCAGGGGTGAGTGAAATAGCTTGGGACTGCTTGGGACCGTTGTTCTGGTACTGAGTGAGCCAATATAATGATTTTCTTCGGGACCCAGTGGTCTTAGAGTTACCTCTATGGTATTACTTCTGCATGAAGTCAATGATTAACATAGTTGAAGATGGTAATTTAAAATAACAGACTAAAGTGGTAATTTTTATACGATAAATGAGGAGGAGATGAAAGTATAGAATTGATAGTTCCGTTTAGAGTACGGCAGTGTGAAAATTGCATACAGCAAGCTAGAACAACTTTTTAGGAAGGTACAAATCGGTTTTATCATCTCTCTTTACCAAACTTTACCCAAATTAAATACATTGTACGGGTTGGGTCGCACAGAGGGTTGATTAGATGTAAATTGCTTTGAAACACCTGCATGAACGATAACCATAAGGAGTGCCTAACAACCTATTCGGGTTATCATCCCAACAATATGTGGTACGGTGGCATGATTTGTGGTATCGTTCGTGTATCGTGCTTCCCCCACCCTTTATTAGGGCCGCTGACGCACATTACACGCTCTTTCGTGCTCCGGCTGATTGAATGGATGACGGAGTTTGACGTCACACTCCTTCAGACGTTTAGGCGGCGGGAGGGCGAGAGGGATGGCTGTTCAGTACACGGAGAAAATTTTACAAATGTATTTCTAATAGGTAAATCACAGTTTAAAACTCACTAATAATCTCTTTCAATCTCTTTTAATTTCTTTTTCATTGACGGTGTGATGTAATCGATGCGTCTTGATGGTTAGAAAGAACCGGAACAGCAAAGTTTAAAAGTAGAATGGATTTTATTTAACGACTAGCTTGAGTGGAGTCTTGAACAGGAATGAATAGTTTTTCACCGTTGTTTATTTAAGAAAACTTAGGTTGCTAGGGGTGACGTTCGGTCTCCAAGGAGGTGATCAGCACACTGCGTTACCGATTTACTCCAACACCCCCCCTGAATCGGTCAGTCCTAGGAGGGTCCTCAGTTCGCGGAAACGTCCAGGTTCCAGGGGCTTGGTGAACGTGTCCGCTATTTGGTTTGCTGTATCAATTGCTTCGATTTGAAGTCTTCCTTGTGCCACATGGTCGCGCAAAAAATGGTGCTTTACATCGATGTGCTTGACACGCTTGCTTTCGGTGTTTGTGGCCATTGCAATGCACCCACGGTTGTCTTCGTACACCTTGAATGCCGTGTCCGGTCGAACTTGCTTCAGGTCTTCAAGGATTTCGTGCAGCCACAGCCCTTCGGAGGCCGCGGCACTTAAAGCTGCATACTCGGCTTCACACGACGACAGTGCAACGGTTTGTTGCTTGCGGCTTGCCCAAGACACGGTGTTCCCAAAGACCTTAAAGACGAAGCCACTAACGGATTTCCTATCCTCAGCATCCGATGCCCAGTCAGCGTCTGCGTACCCGACAAGTGCCTCGGCGTCGTCGTTTTGCTTGTACTGGAGCTTCAAGTTCTTCGTTCCCTTCACGTAACGGACCACTCTCTTCAGGGCTTGCCAGTGGGCCTCATCAGGTTGAACTTGGAAGCGCCCTAGGTATCCAACAGCGTAGCATATGTCCGGTCGAACACACAGCATCGTATACATCAGGCTGCCCAGCAATTGACGGTATGGATGCGACACAGGATTCGCAGCTTGTGGTGGCAGGAAACAGCCTTTCTCCATTGGGGTTTTGACATGGTTACAGTCTTGCATGCCGAACTTCGTCAGCACACGGTCCACAGCAGCTTCTTGCGCCAGGTACATGCATCCGGTGGCGCGGTCGTATCGGATCTTCATTCCAAGGAAATGATTAACCACGCCGCAATCCGTCATCTGGAGCTTCTTGGAAAGAGCACGCTTGATCTCCTTCACCAGGTCCAGTCGATCGCCAGCAATGAGCAAATCGTCCACGTAGATGATTATGTATACCCCCCCCCCTCGATCGTCGATCCTGGTATATAGACAGTAATCATGCCGGGAACGGGTAAAGCCTAAATCCATTAGAAGGTCGTTCAGCTTGTTGTTCCAACAGCGGGGGCTTTGCTTGAGTCCGTACAGCGATCGATCCAGCTTGCAAACGAAGTTCGGCGGTGCTGCAACTCCTTCGGGTATGGCCATGTAGACGTCTTCTTCAAGCTCACCGTAGAGGAATGCGGTCTTCACATCGAGTTGGTGAACGTGCATCCTTCGGTGGGTTGCTACAGCAAGAACGGTTCGTATCGTGGCTAACTTTGCTACGGGGGAATATGTTTCGTTGTAGTCGACTCCGGGCTTCTGTTGGAATCCCTTCGCCACCAAGCGCGCCTTGTAACGGATCGGTTCGCCATGCTCGTCCGGCTTGATTCGGAAGACCCATTTCGATTTGAGCGGAACCACACCAGCAGGGCATCTCACCAATCGCCAAGCATGGTTGTCCGCTAGCGACTGCAGTTCCTCACGGACCGCTTGCTGCCAAAGAGCTTCGTCGGCTCGTCCAGCGATCTCCTTGTACGCCTCCAGGACATCGAAGATCGAACGCTCGGCCTCATCTCGTCCAACGGAACCGTCAAATAGTACATCGGAAACGTTATGGGGAACATCTGCAGAATGGGATTGCGCGGCAGTGAAAATTTTTCCAACCAGAAATTCTTTCAACTTACCGGGGAGTCTGCGCTCCCGTTCGCTGCGCCTCGGGGTTTCCATTTCGAGGTTTGAACCACGGTCTAGTTGCGAAGGGAGCGCTCCGGTTTCTTCAACACCGTCGTCTTCAACCTCGCCTTCTTCATCATCAGTCAGGATGTCGTCATGTTGAGCCACCAGCGGCTCATCGGGTTGAACGGACTGTTCAGGGGTTTGCACGTCTTCCTCATCTTGATCCTCGAACTCGTACGGAGCAACAACCAAAGGAGTTTCGTCACGGATCTGGGTGGCAAACGGAAAACTGTTTTCATCGAACTTGACATCTCTGGCTAGGAATAACTGCTTCTTCTCTTTGTTCCACAGGCGGTAGGCGTTCGGCGCATAGCCGATCATCACAGCAGGCTTGCTTTTCGGATCCAGTTTCTTCCTCTGTGCCGTGGACACCCAAGCAAATGCTTTACAGCCGAACACACGTAGTTTACTAACGTCCGGCTTGTGACCAGTCCACATTTCCGCAGGAGTCTTCCAATCAGATACCGCGGTGGTTGGACTTCTGTTCGTCAGGTATACCGCCGCTAGAACCGCTTCATTCCACAGATTCTTCGGAGTTTGGGCTTCAATCAGCATCGCACGCACCTTTTCGACGATTGTCCGATTGAACCGTTCGGACACTCCATTCTGCTGTGGTGTGTACGCTGCGGTTGGCTCGACTTGGATCCCCTTGGAAACGTACCAATCACGCTGGTCATTGGAGCAATACTCGCGCCCTTGGTCGACAGTCAGCTTCGAAATCGAATGTCCCAGAGCGGCACTCGCCATGGCCTCGTACTCTCGAAACTTCTGGAACACCTCGGACTTCTTCTTGATGGGATATACTACTGCAAAGTCCGTGTAATCATCAATAAAGGTGACGAAGTACCGAGAATCATCCCAAGCCGCTGGTGTAATTGGACCGCACACATCGGAGTGCACTCGTTCTAGAGGTCTTGTAGCACGGACTCTAGTACCCGTGAATGGTTCTCGGCACTGCTTTCCGAGAACACAAACATCACAAAAATCCAATTTATCTGGTTTCTCGGGAATACCTGTTACCATGCCATGCTTCGCGAGTGTCTGCAAACTCTTGCTCCCCAAATGAGTTAGTCGACGATGTCACAGGTTACCAGTCACAGCTCCACACATGTTGGCCGCCACCGTATCGACACGGAGATCGAGCTCGTAAAAATCGCCCCGCATGGGACATCTCGCAATCAGGTCACGACCTTGCTTCATGATCGCTTCCTTTTTCGTGAATGTGACATCAAGATCCGCTTTTGCCATCTTCTTCACAGATAGCAAGTTCGCTCGAAGATCTGGTACGAAGAGGACGTTCTTCAAGCTGATATAGTTACCTTCCTTGTTGACGCCGTTGATCGTGCCACTGTGCCGGGAAATCAGGGATTGATCATCCTTCGCCACGTTTATGACGACAGGGTGCTTCAGCTTCGTGAGGTCGGCGAAACAGTGCTTCACATTCACAAGGTGGTCCGAGGCTCCGGAATCCAGCTTAAAGGAAACTGCTCCCTCGTCCTTTGTTTGGGAGCATCTCCCGGTCATAAAAGCCACCGCCTTACCTCCAGCAGCAGCGTTAGCTTCAGCGCGCCCATTTGTCTTCAACTTCACACGACAGTCCTTGGCCTTGTGCCCTTTCTTCTGGCAACGGTTACACTTTCCGGTGAACTTACCAGGCTTCTGCTTCGATCCTTGGAATGCTGCAGGTTTCTCTTGGCAGGAATCCGCTGCCCGGTCGGTTTTCTTGAGCTCCTCGGCAAGAAGGCGCTCGCGAACAACATCCAATTTTAGGTTTTCCTCACCTAGATTTTCCAGTGCCGTAACCAACGGATCGAACGACTCGGGAAGGGTAGCAAACAGCTGGGACACAATATCGTTCTCTTCAAGCTTCGCTCCGGCCAGCTTCAGTTGTCGGATCAGCTCTTCGAAGGTTTTCAGGTGATCTTTCACAGACGAACCTTCCATCATTCGTAGCTTCGCAAGTTGCTTCCTGACGAATGTCTGCGACGAGACGGACTTCTTGGCGTAGGCGGATTCAAGGCTCATCCACATCTCCTTGGACGTCTTCTTGTCCCGCACCAAATGCAGCAAATCGTCATGAACAAATGACGTCAGCAGGAACGCCGCCTTACCGTCATCTTCCTGGAACTTCGTGAGCTCGGCCGCTTCCATCGGAGGATCCTTCTTGATGATATCCAACAGCTTCACGGACTTCAGATACTTCTCCACTCGAAATTGCCAATTGTCGAAACCGGTGCCCGAGAACTGCGGGATCCCGTGGACCAAATCCTTGCGTGAGTCGCCCATAACCTCTTGATGGTTAGAAAGAACCGGAACAGCAAAGTTTAAAAGTAGAATGGATTTTATTTAACGACTAGCTTGTTCATTATAGCTTGAGTGGAGTCTTGAACAGGAATGAATAGTTTTTCACCGTTGTTTATTTAAGAAAACTTAGGTTGCTAGGGGTGACGTTCGGTCTCCAAGGAGGTGATCAGCACACTGCGTTACCGATTTACTCCAACAATGCGCTATGTGACGAGAGCGCAAACCAAACGAGGCTATTTTTCAACGATACGATAATAACTTATGCGCTTTTCACACAAAACCTACCCAACCCTTTCCTTTCTACAATCCCTGAGCAGCTGGTTTACCATAAGTATACCTCGCAGAACATTGTGTAGTACTAGAATTTCGACTAGAATGGGGTACGTTAATCGTTTGGGAGCAATAGACTAGTCAAGTAGTGAGCCAATTTAAAATCGTTAGTTTCGTATTGATTGTTGGTATAACGATTTAAAATTGGCTCACTACTTGACTCGCCTATTGGTCCCAAGCAAATCGATTAACGTACCCCATTCTAGTCGAAATTCTAGTACTACACAATGTTTGTTTTGATTCGCTATGAAAGTTTGACAGATAAAATGTGGGGTTAGTGGGTTTTCCTATGTTTCGAGGGGTGAATCGATTAGCTTGGGACCGAAGAGAGTACCAGAGCTGAGCCAAAAAGTTGAGCACGTTTCTTCGGGACCTTCTAGTCTTATACCCCGTTCACATTACAGCGTATATCATGTAATATAGGCTGTCTGGCAATGAGCACTCATACATCTAGTTTTCACTGGAAATCCTATGTATGAGTGCTCATTACAAGACAGCCTATATTACATGATATAAGCCATAGTCTGTCCGGGGTATTACAGAACCCAATTAGAGTTCAAGTTTTCATTATTATTAAAGCACATTATTGGATAAATGTAGAAAGGAAAAATCAGCCCTACACGCTTATAATCCCAGTTACAATAATGTTACCCAGGCAAAAAAAAATCTTTGGAAAATGAAGGCCTTCACAAACATTGAAACACCAATTTACATGCTTGCAAATTCTGAAGGCAAAGGAGCTCTGTAATGATTTTAATGTATCATTTTAGTAATAAAATAGTGAATCGGAATTTGTTTGTTCGAAAGAGAAACTTTCGTTCAAAGAATAACAACCTTAAAGTGTACTACCGAAGACAAAGCGGTGACGAGCCTCAGCGCTGTTTATCGATGGAGAAATTTAATTTTCCCATTTTCTTCTTCTCTGCTCTGCGGTGTATCTGGGTGTGCCAGGTGATTCCAAAGCATCGGTCGAATTTCTCGCCACACTCGAGGCACTCATTCATCGGGAACCACCTCCGGCAGATTCGGCATTCTATGCGAACGGAAAACTTTTGACCCTTTGCTGCTTTGTAAACTTCCTTGCTATGTTCCTGCTCCAGGTGCTCCCGTATACGGTCTGGATCATCGAGGTTTCGTTGAAAACAGATTTGACACTCGGTCGTTACAAATAGCTGCGGATGTTTTTTGCTCTTTTTTAAATTATGGGTTAATACGTGTTGTTTGATCAAATCATGATTAGCGCATAGTTTATCGCAATTATCGCATGCATATATGTGGGTGAATTGGTTTTTAGCACCATTTAGTATCCTGGCCGCTCTTACACTGTATCCTCTGTAGGTGGTGGTTTTAATGAATCGCTTCAAAAAACTATTATGATAGATCCTTCGGGGGACACATTTATGTTCATAGTTATGGATTGCCGATGATTTTTGCAAGGTCCTTGGCGTGACTAGCGGTGGTGCTGGATCTGCATCTTTATAATGTACGATTTTCAGTGATTCATGTTGAATCACAGATGAACCGACATTTGATTCTTCGATACTAACAGCCTCATCCTCGGAATCATCAACGCAAATTGTAGCAATTCCCTTTTGGTTTGGTAAGACCTGCTCGATTGCATCACCCGGAACGACATCACTTGTATGAACGGGTTCTGGATCGACTTCTTCACTCTCATCATCATCCACAACAATGGTTTCGATCGGATCATCTTCTACCGACGAAGGATAGCTGTCCATATCGATATTTTGATGTTCATTGTCCGTCAGATCTAACTCTTCCTGCTTGATTTGAATAGGCTGTTCCGGAGGCTCAGCCTCAATCTCCTCCTGACTAATAGCAATCGCAGGCAACTCCAGGGTGTAATTTGGAGCAATGTCTTCTAAATCCAACTCTTCCTGCTTGATATGAACGGGCGGTTCCGAAGGCTCCGCTTTTATCTCCTGTTTAATTGTAACCCATTCGAAGTTGGGAGCAACATTGTTTGCGGGGTCTGGCTCTAGTTTTACTTCGATAATATATGGATTTAAGTCGTCGAAATCTTCAGCTTCCAATCCCCATTGGTATTCGTTTTCAATCTTGATCTGTGCGACAATTTCCTCTCGGGGAGCAGCTGTGGTGCACTGTAATATTTGATCACATGAACCGTTACGATCTGGAATTGTTTGTTCGATTGGCTTGGTGGAACCGATGCGCTTGTGAACCGGATTCCGGGATGATTTCTTGGGACGATACTGACGCGGATTTGGTGGACGATGTTGCTTTAGGAATAGAGGTTCGCTGGTTTAGATTTCTTGATTAGGAAAAATGACTAGTAACTTACTAATTCATCGTTGGTTGATGTTTTACTTTTGGTTTTGGAGGACTTTTTTCTCATACTGGAAACATTGAAACATAGACGAAACAATACAAAAATCACTATACAATTTCAAAACAATCACTATTTTTTTTTGCCTGTTGAGTCGGTCTACCAATGTTGTTGTTTTAGTCGTGGGCTGCATACTGTGTACACGGTGTTTCGCGAAAACCCATTAATGGGTATAAAAATACCCATTTCCGCTAAAAGTTCCTCTCCTCATTTAATGGGTAAACTATACCATGCGAATAGTTTATTCTGCACTGATAAATTAAACTATTCCCATTTTGCTTGAAATTTAATCAATTTGACATTAAACTCAGTTTAATCATAATGATTAAAAATTAATACTCTCTTTTTAAAAAATAGACATTTGATGGAGTTGGTTGGAAATGCTAACATGAAGCTTTAGTGTGATAATTTATTAGCTAGAGAATGATCTTTTAGAAGAGGGTAGGTCGATAGTTCCGTTAGAGTACGGCAGTATGAAAATTGAATAGAAGTTAAAAATGAGCGAAGTTCCATTAATGCGACAGTTTTTAAAGTTAGACGCACATCTTTTGCCTAACCCGTACGATGTACGCGGAGACTTGAAGTATGTCTCCAAGTCTACAGGCAAAAAATGTGCGTCCTTCTTTTGCTCATAAACTGGCTGCGGCTGTGGAATAGTTCTAGCGACGTTTTCATCACTACCTAAAGCCCCACGTTGCGAGAGCATTTCCAGTCCATGGTGTGTTATAATGCAATTCTTCTTTACCCAACTATTGTGTTGCTCCTCTCGTCATGACCAACTTGGTCATCTCAGAGAGAAGGCAGTAGGGTGGTTGTTGCGTGCTGTACCATCATCAGCATTGTTGACGGCTACTCCCTCTGAAAATCGCTAACTTCGCGTATAAAGTAACATAAAAAACACTTTGAATGTAACAACTCAAGGCCCACTCTAGAACCTACATTTCGTATTTAGATCTCTAAGTGAACTGCTGGTCTGAGCGAGGGTCTGAGTTCCCTGGTACACAGCAAAAAAAATGTAATATCGATCAATTCATTGGACGTAATTTTGTTCGCAAAATCGATGTACATCGTACAACGTTATATTACACAACCGATGGATTGACCTGGTTGCAGCAGTTTGGATGTAATATTCAACAACTTTTTTTTTTCTGTGTAACGGGATAACATTATAGTCGGTATATTCATAGTCTGGCGACCTATCAAAAAGCGGAACCATTTCAATATATTGTAGACCAACAATTGTAAAGGTACTTTCAACTTTTATAAACAAAACGTTGATTATTCTTTCCTCGACAATCGAAGGTAAATTAGCATCATCGGATAGGGCAGGGCTGGTAGCGTGTCACTTTTTAGTGACTTGGTCACTTTTTTCAAGCCAATCACTAAAAAGTCTCCTTTTTTAAGGCCAAGTCACTAAAGTCACTTTTTCTTGTAATCAGTCACTATTTTCAACTTTTTTAGCGTGAATTTATTTCAAGATTGATGCTTTGTGACGTATCTTTGATCGTCTTTCTCTGTCTACTGGGTTTTTACTCGATTTTCTAAATAAAATTACCTGAGTTTTCCTGTTTTTTTCCCCAGAACTTTAACGGATAAGTTCCAGGCTTGTAATAAGAAAGCTATGTTTTAAATGCGTTAGAAATATGCTTTTTTTGGTTGATCGAAAATAACACAAATTAACCAGTTTTATAGAAACAGCTTTACAATGAAATGCATTTAATGTTGAAGTTTAACGCTTAACTTTAACGTTTAACTTAATTTCTCACTTTCAAAAAGTTATAATAACTTACTTAATTTGAGTAAGTCCAAGATCTAAAAATATTCAATGTCTTGAAGTTTCGTATTCCATGTACAAGTTCTAGATATTAAAAATTCTCAAAGTGCCAGAATTATAGAAAAAAGAAGAAGATTTATTTCATGTTTGTAATAAACTTTATGCATGATTAGAGATCTTCATGGCAGTCCCATTAACTTCACAACAATTGTAGGAACTTTTGAGAAGCTCGGATGAATGAAAGGAAATGCTGAGAATTTCAGTGAAGCTCCATAAATTGTTAGAACATAAGGGAAGTTAACTCGCTGAAAATATGGGGAACTTACTGGAAGCCTTAAGAACCTCAAAGCTGTTCTTTTAGCATCCAAAAATGTTCAGGAACTTTTATGAAGTTCCTAGAATGTCAGAGAACTTCACAAGTGTCAAGCGAACCTGAAAAATATAGAAAACTTGAGGGGTATTGGGCAAATGTTTAATAAGTTCTAAGCACATTAGAAAAGCTAGATCTAGAGATCTTTGGGGAATTTCAGAACTTAAGAGCAGTTAACGTAGCTTTAGTCCAGACTTTTGGAGCAGTTTAATGATGTATAATCGTAAATTATACAAATTCAGCATAGTTCCATGATGTGGTGAAAAAAAATCGAGAACCCTTAAGATGTTCCGAGAATTTCCTAAAAGTACAGAGACCTTCAGAAAATTTATGAAAACTTCAGGAATATTTCAGAAACTTCACAGAAGTCCACAAAATTTCAAGGAAATTTAAAGGTGTTTACGGGAATTCAATTTTTTGCCGATCAGAACCGAGATCTTCAATAGAATTGAGAGCTTTCAGGGAGCATCGAGAACATCAAAAAAGATCAGAGAATCAAAGGGCAGTTCAAATAATTTAGTTTCGAGAAACTCAGGGAATTTCCGAAAACTTCAGCAAAGCTCCGAGAGAATTTCTGGAACGTGATAAAAATTATATAAACATCCGGAAAACGTGAGAGTATTTTCAGGGTGAAGAAGAACTTAAAAAATGCAAAAAATTACCTAAGTTGATAAGAGAACATCAACAAAGTTCCATTAATTAAAGAAAAATTTGAGAACTTTTAGCAAGCAGCGATATCTTCAAGACATTTCAGAGAACTTCTAATAAATTTAGGTGTTTTTTTCATAGTTTCATGATATTCAGTTTCGAGTTTCGAGTACTTCGAGGACGATCAGATAGCTTCAGAATAATCCCATTAACTTAAGAAAATATGCAGCGACTTACAAGGAGTTCCATAGAATTCTATGATTAATCCAAAAACGTCAGAAGCGTCAGGGAATTAAGAAAACATATCAGAAATTTTCCGGATTATTAAACAAATTTAGAGAATTTCAGATAAGCATAGACAAGTTCAGGGAAAATGAGGGAGCGTTTAAAATGGTTATAATACTAAAGGAAAAAATTGCCGAAACTTCAAGGCATATCAAGGAAAATAATTTCAGTAATGTTGCGGGTTCTTAAAAAATACTGATAAATTCAGAACAGGCTAGAGAACTTTAAAGAAATTCAGTAATCGTTAAGGCAGTTTTAATAACACCAGGACAGTCTAGGCTATTGAAGAAGTTTTAAATTAGTGTCGATATTTTAATATATAAGTGAAAATCATAGAACTATATTAATTATTTCATTCTAATTCCATGAAAATTGCGGGAGCACCAAAGTTCCAGAAATTTAGAAAAAACTCCGAAAACTTTACAGAAGGACAGTGGTCTTCAGAAACATTTCGAGAACTTCTTAGAAATCTATCAAGCTTAAGAAGAGATCCGCAAACTTTTTTATGAACATTACCAAAATTCGGGAGCATCAAAAAATTGGAAGAATCTTATTAGTGGGAAATTTAAAGCAGTTCCCAGTTTTTCAGATTCTTAGGACCGTTCAATCAAATTCAGCGCAGTACAACAAGCTGCATGAGAACTGCCAAAACTTTAGAGAAGTTTTGAGAATTTCAGAAAAGAACAGAGAACCTCAGAGCAGTTCCGTTAACATTAAAGAAGTCACATAAATTTTAAAGAAGAAGAGAGAACTTCAGCAAATAGTTAAACCTTCAGAGGAGATCCATGATCGTAAGAAAAATTGGGGAAACTTTAGGAATTCCTAAAAAGTTAAGGGAAGTTTGAGAATTTGATGAGAAGTATTGTGAACATCAGGCTAGTTTCTCAAACTACAAAAGAACTTTAAGGCAGTTTAATTAAATTCAAGAAAAAATTGGGAACTTTCAAGTAATTCTGAGGACCTCTGAATAGTCCATTCCATATTCAATGGAGATTTCCATTGAAATATTCCTCAAAATTTCGATGCAGCTATCTTTCGATTTTTTTTTGTTTTCGTCGAAAATTACATTGAAATTCTCCACAATTTTGGAAAGGTTCTCCCTAGGGTTCTCCAAATATTCATTGAATTCATTTCCGATTTCTTTTTGAATCTCACTCCTTCCCTTGGCATTCTACTTATATTGAAAGTCTCCTAAGAATTCATTGGCATTTCTTCTCACAAATACCTTTGATTTCTTCTCATAATTTGTTTGGCAAACTCTCCTGAACTTAATTTCTGAATTCCTTTGAAGATGTCCTGGAGTTATTCTCAGATTTCTTGCAATCCTCTTTTCAGTATTTTAATACAAATTCCAAGGATTTATGCTCTGGATTCGTTTTCTACCACTAACTTTATGAATACCCTTGGAATTTTCGACTACTACTACGACTACTTTTCTTCTCTTAGGTCACTTTTTTAGTCACTATTTTAACAACTATAAGTCACTATTTGGTCACTTATTTCTTCAATATTGTCGCTAAAATCACTATTTTTGAAAGCAGAGATCGCTACCAGCCCTGATAGGGGAAACTTTCCACAACCTAAAGATAGCATTAGTTTGTGTAGGTGAGCCTGTAGTCACGAGAAAACGGTTTCCGAAATTTTATTCGCAAGCTGATGTGCTCTTTTCTGTTGTTGGTCGTGATTTGCTCGATTGGTTCCGCTATTTGACAGCTCAATTGATTCCAGAAATTCTATCCGCCAGACTATGAATATAGCGACTACACAGAAACAAAATCCATTGGCAAAAATACTATATTGATGGTTTAAATTAAATACTCCCACCAATAGATTTGTGCAGAAACGAAATTCATTTAATTTTACTATTTTTTCTATCAAAACTACTATGCCGTTTGAGTAAGCATAGTAGTTTTGACAGAATGGTAGTAAATTTGATTATATTTTTAGTCAATTATACTGAAATCATGCTTAGATTTTTTTGCCGAGATGGGCACCACCGAGCAGCTCGGCATTTTATTTTACTGGAAATTCAGCAAAAAATATGTTTGTTAGCTGAGATCTCGGCAAATTTCTCGTTTGTTAGCTGAATCTCGGCAAGTTTTTCACTGAGATCCAGTAAAATAAAATGCCGAGCTACTCGGTGGTGCCCATCTCGGCAAAAAAATCTAAGTGTGTGGTAGATTTAACGGCATTAAGCGTAGTTATACTGAAAATAAGTGTTTTCTGCAAAATACTATTCCTAACTATGGTCTTTGTTTCAGTGTATAGATAACATCAGGATGTAGCTCTCGGCAAGTCATGCACACCAACAGAACGCAGCCAGTAGTTGACGCGTCGTAAACAAACCAAATAATGATCCAAAAGATGAGAGTATTATTTTTTAATCATCACAAAAGTAGTTTTGCACAATTTTATTAAAAACATTGGTGTTCTTTGGCTAAAATAATGTCGGAAAGCCACCCAGCAGAAGCTGTAGTGGCCAATATTAGTAAAACTAGTAAGGAAGAAACGGAAGACCCTCCAGTTCGAGATAATTTGCTGTATAAAGTAAATGGTAAGGAGGGGAACAAGCAGGAGAACGAGAAAGAGACTAGGAAGGGTCGAGGACCAGGTCGACCGAGGAAACCCCGACCGGAAATTTTGTCATTGGAAGAATACGACCGAGAGGTGGGAGGGATCGAAAATTCTGGCGATGATGGAGATTATGACCCGGAGGAGGATAGCGACGCCAACGAGAAGCAGGAGAAAGTTTCAGCTCGCAAAAAGGGTCGGCCTCGGATGAAGTCCGTTGAGCCCCCGGTGGAAAAGAAGGTTTGTGATTGAAGCGGCAGGAAGAGTGTTATAATGAGAATTTTTAATTTCAGAAACGAGGTCGACCCAAAGACGAAACTAGATCTAACGTCACCTGTGATCTTTGTGGCAAATTTTTCAAGTATCGTGTACTCCTGAAGCGCCACGAGCAAACCCATTACGGGATTAAAGAATTTGAATGCGAGTACTGCCACAAGCGTTTTCTGCAAAAAGGCGGCCTAACGGTGCACCTTCGGCAACACACTGGCGAAAGGCCCTACAAGTGTCCATACTGTCCGGCAAGTTTCCGGGGTCAATCCTCGTTGGATTGTCACGTGTTTCGGCACACCAAGCAAGGAACGAAGTGTCCCCAGTGTCCGTCGGTGTTTGCAACACCGGCGATCGTCAAGCAGCATATCCGGGAAGTTCACACTACGGAGAAGCCACACGTGTGTCAAATCTGTGGCGAAAGTTACAAACATCGAAAAAGTTTAACAACTCATCTGGAGGACCATGACAAGCGTATTTGCTCGGTTTGCGGAAAGGTATTCAACACGATGTTTGCCTTGATGACCCACCGGCATATTCATGAGGTGAATCCAAAGTGCAACTATTGCAATCGGTCGTTTAAATCGGAGGAAGAATTGCAGGCCCACAGCAAACTCCGAGGGCGGGTGTATCAGTGTGAAATGTGCTGTTACAGTTTTAATAAGGCTGAATTTTTGAACAATCATAATCGAAGAGATCACTGGAAAGAAATGGGACTGGAACGGTTACCTAGAAAGATTGTACCGCGGCCTAAGAAACCCAAACCTGAAGGTCCGAAGGTGAGGAAATCAAAAGCAAAACTTCCTATTATGCAGATCGGCGAGCAATCGGTTACCGATTATTCTGGATCGTTGGCATGGGGGAATCAAAGCATATCCTCAGCAGAGTGTCCCACGTTGCCAGTACCACTACCTCCAGATGCGACTCAGCATCAAATGCTGCCGCTGGTTGATCAACATGTTCAGTCAGAATTCACACCAAAACTTGAACTGCCAGCAACAACTGCGAAGGAAAACATTGCAGTTGTTTCGCCGAAAACGGAACCGAAGGTTTCAACTGAACAAGAAGCAGAACTGCAAACTCAACCGGATTCAGACCAAGACTTCAGCACTCATCTCGGCGAAGTGGATGATTACCATTCCGATCCGGAGGAAGACAGAACTGTCGAGAAAAAGAACGTCGAAGAAGCGGAAGATAGTGCAACGAAGGTGGAGGTCAAGGTCGAACCGGAAGTTCATTGTTATATAGCTGCTGTACCTACCCTGGAAGCTGGGGTTTTCGTCAAAGTTGAGATTACCGAAACGGACAGACCGGCGGAAGGGGAGGATGCACCTTTGCCGAAGGAAGACCCAATTGAGAATAAACCGGAGGAATTGGAAGAGAAAAAGGAGGATTTGTCCGATAGTGAAGATGACGAGGTTCCATTGGCGGTGAGTACACAATTCGATTTGAAACTTGAAGTCGCAATCAATACGCGTTTGATGCATTTTGCAGAGCTTACGTTCAACTCCAGGACAAAAAGGAAAGCTAGAGAAAATAGTCTCAACCAAGAAGAAAGAGAAAATTGATCACGATCGTAAGAAGAAACCACAAGCAAAGGCCGTCGAAGATTCTTCCGACGATGATGGCAGGTTGTACTCAATCGGTGGTTCGTCTGACGGTGACCTATCGGATTCTTCTGATTCATCCCGATCGATGACGAGCGAGGATAATGACGATGATGATGTTCAAGCCGAGCAGCCCAAGCCGAAACGTAAACGAAGACGGAAACAAGATGGCGAAGGACCTCGGAAAGGGCCTTACCAAAAGCGTGACATGCACTGCCTTATTTGCGATGATGTATTCAAGGGTCGTGCCGCACTCAAGGAACACAAGGAATCCGCTCATCCGGATGTCAAAACCAATGCTGGAGTAATTTCATTGATAGTTCTTCTCGCTTTGAATAATTCACAATATTTTCACTTTCAGCCCTTGATCTGCGAGCTGTGTGGAAAGTCTTACGCCACCGTAACGTCCTTAGCCGTCCACCGAGGTCAGCATGAGGAATATCAACGGTTCAAGTGCGACGAGTGCCCAAAAGCGTTCACATTCCAATGCTACCTCGAGAATCACATACGAATAGAACATCGTCGGGAACGGCTCATTTGTCCGCTCTGTGGCAAACAGTTCAAGTACGGTCCGGATCTGAAACGGCACTCTCTACAGCACGAGGAAGAAAAGCCCTTCAAGTGTGAAGAATGTCCCGCAGCGTTCCGGCATCCCAGTGCCCTGCACAGTCACAAAGCTATCCACGAAAAGACTGTGTTCACTTGTACCGTTTGCAATAAGAACTTCCGGTACGCCAATAGCTTGCGGGTACACAAGCGTCTCCACAGTGGAGTCAAGCGTTTCCGGTGTGAGATCTGTGATCGAGAGTTTAGCCAGAAGGCACCGCTGATGAAGCACATGGCAATCCACTCGGTAGATCGACAGGTAAAGTGTGTCGTTTGCGATAAGGTTTACTACAAGAAGGTCGAACTGATCATCCATCAGGCGAAGGAGCACCCAAATCATCCGCTAATTGGAAAGACGATCAAGGTTCATACCTGCAACGTGTGTGGGATGGAGTTTACGAAGGAGGGTCACCTCAGGATACACTCCGATATCCATGGGAACGAGTATAGGTTCAAGTGTGATATGTGCGACGATCAGAAGTTTAAACAGAAAGCTGGACTGCGACACCATTGGAAGCACTTTCACCAGATGGAACCACCCAAGAGGAATCTGGGGAAGAAACCGGAAGAGAGGAAAGCCGAAAAGGCGGTCGTTCGTACGGTGACAAGTGTCACCGTAAGGCCACCAGCTGGGGAGTTTCATAACGAGTTCGAGTTCATGATGCAGCGGATGGAGTGCGAGTCAAATGTTTCGAACTAGGCGACATTCGTGGTCAATATGAGACTGGCGTCGTAAGGCATCTTAGAGGAGACGAAGATTGCCTGTTGTTGCGGCCTTTTCACCTTCGTTGGTCAGGGAACTCACTTGTCCCGTCTGCAAGAGAGCTTGAATTTCTTGGTTGACGATATAGACATCGGTCTTGGCTTTGCTGGCTGTCGGCCGCTTTTACTCTTCTAAGCTGCTCAAGTTACCGGCAGGTTTCATCCGGGATCAATGCTTTTATCTGAGAGCGCAGATCACACAGGTTGTTCTCACTTGTCTCGATAAAGGTGTTCTTCATGGCCGTCCATTGCTACGTCCATGCTCATCCGCTGTTTGGGTCTCAAGTTGTTCAACGAAAGACCTTTTCACTGTTGGATCTTCTGGATCTCATCGATTAGAAAATGTTGCTGGGTATCCGCTTTCGATTGATAAACAGATGGGGCCGATTTGATTTTCGGTATGTCCCAGCACCATGCCGTTATCGCCAGTTGCCACACAATTCTGCAAATAGTTCAGCGTTCTCGTTGATTTATCGGAGCCCATGGCGGTCCTTGGCTTACGCAGAGTCCGTGGTGTCGAAGCGGATCTTCACAATGAAGACGCTAGTGTAGACAAGGATACCAGGTGTTTCATAAAACTCAGTTTTACAGAAGTTAAGGGTAGTCGAGAGAATTTCGTAGGAAAAAAGGGCATTCGTTAGAACGATGCTCTCCTCATTTGATTTCAGGGAACTTTGAAAGAAGTTCGGGGGAGCTTTGTAGAAGTTTATTGGAACGTTGTAGAACTTTAACGAACTTCATAACGTAGAAGTTCTGGCAACTATGTAGAAGGTTTAGAAATTTTCTAGAAGTGCAACAAATTTTAACTTTATTAAAGCTCAACGAACTTCGTAGAACTTAGGTAAACTTCGTTGAAGTGCAGATAATGTTATAGAACATCAGTAAATTTTATTTGAAGCTCAAAGAACATTGTAGAAACTTCGTTGAAGTTCAGGGATTTTTCTTTAATTTCTTTAAATTTCATAAAACTTCGTAGATTTTCATGGATAGAGATTCAGGGAATAAAAGTTTCTTATTCAGCCATTGGTTGCCAGTCAAACGTGTTTGGAGCAATTTTATGAGCGTAACTTTTTTCTAAACAACTTTGTCTCAGACGTCATTTCGATTAGATGTGACGATTTCGTGCTACAATTTATTGAAAAAGACGCCATTTTGGAAAATGGCCGAAGTTTTGCAAAAATGTGAATGACTGCTCATAAAACACAATAATGCAAATCAAAGTAGGACCTGGAACTGGTCCACAGTGATAGGAAAATGAAGTGACGTGACGTTGATAATAATAGACCCCCAAAGCTGGTCCATTCCATTTACTCTGTAATTATGCTCATCTTCTGAAATTACTTACATCAGTTGGAAATTCATTGACCTCGGATACTTACGTCGATACGCTCAACTGATAGCCTATAGTCACTAGAGGCGCTAAATCGAACTCGGCGTTGCGAGTTCGATTCACGTTTCGGTTGAAATTGTCTCGACTTCTCTGGACTCTGAGTAGGTATATTGTGCAGTTAGATAAAAATTAACTGTATGTCGCTGATGAATTAAGTTCCGACGTGACTGGTAGCATTGCAAATGAGCTGTCGAAAGGATCAACAACAACAATATTAAAGATCATGATTTCCGTAAAAGTCGGAAGTAGGTTCGAATTTCGGAAGTCAGACTTCCGAATTTCAAAAGCGAAACAATATGATTGTGATTCAACACAATATACAAATACAATCGTCAAGACCCAAGAAGAAGACACAGAGTATTGAAATACTCCCCACGTGACTCTCTGTCACCGGTGAGTTGACTCTCCGTGCAAATCAAACAGAGAGTCATCTCATACGAGGTGACTATTGTCACCTCACCGGTCAGAAAGAGTCACGTGACTCGCAGAATAGGGGGGAGTGACGTTGTAGATAGTAGTTACTATTTAATAGCAATAATTCGCAAAATTAATTGATCTGAATGGCGGGGGCGACCCGGCGTAGTGGTTAGCATCCCAAGTCACAAATGATCCAAAAGCGTTAAATCGACTATAATAAAAAAAATAAAAAAAGATCTAAATGGCTTCCGGCTTAAGTAACCTATAGGGTGTAGCACTACGTCTTTATATTGGGCCCATATCCGTCATGCTCGTCAAGAACAATGAAGACAAACAGTTCCATGTAACATTTTCGCATCATGTTACGACTGAAGTTAAAACCAATTCAACCGGATCTAGGGGTGATAAAATTCAGTTCATCTTTACGATTATGTACTATCGTCAAATTTGAGCAAAACCTTACGCAGCGGCAAACATTTTACGATACATTAAAGCAATTCAATGGTAAAGAATACAGTTTTGTATGATTGTGCAAATAGATAAGTATAATAAAATAATATTTAATGTTTCTAATAATAGCAGAATAATAATGTTCAATTTGAATTGAATTGAAAAATCCTTATCTAAGTTGATCTTTGAATTTTATACCGAGACAGAACAAAAAGAAAATCCTAAGTGACCCTATTTCAAACATCGCTTCCGAATGCTATTATGGCGGTAAGCTCCACGGATACGAATTTTGTTCATTTAAAATAAAAATATAAATGTTTACGAATTATACAAAGTAAATTGAAAGCATGTTTAAAACTAAAATATTTATGTTTGAATTAAATCAGTCTTCACGAAACATAGACGGCGTTGAGCTTGAGTTTCAATTTCTTCAGTGCACGTTCATTGAATGCGCGTGTTTCCTTTCGAACTCAGGTGTACTCTGCACATCGAACGTGATACTTCGTACCTGCATGCAAGTGTGAAGGCTTGCTATGTTGCAACAGAAAGGGCAGACGAAATCGATGAACGCTTCTTATACGCCTTTAGCCTACACATCTTTCAAAGCAACAACAGACGAGAGGTGAACATGCCAGTCTGATACACTCAAACTTCATGGTTCCAGCTTGAATTGTTCCGTTTTATATATTTTTTTAAATTCTAGAGTAATCTTTGAAATGGGCCTACGTCCAAAACGTAAACAAATCGGGTTTTGATACCATTCTTTAGCACCGCTTGATAGCTACTAATCGTGTAGGAAAGTTCCGCATAATCGAGAAAAATCCCGGATGCTAAAACGGCCAAGCATTCATTTATTTCATTTCATTGATACGCCTAGTAGAAGGGCCGATGATTGAAAAATTTCAAACCAAAGCTAGGCCCTACAGCTTAAGGCAGGGCCGATGATTTGTTTTAAATTTATTTGACGTTGCGAAAAGGCTTAGCAAAGGGCCTACCATTTCTGATGACAAGCACAACGGCTTAACAAAAAGGGCCTATCCATTGAAAAATTCACAAAAAAGGCTTATTAATTTATGAAATTATATTGTTATCGATTTCATATATTTTTGAAAGCTTTTCGTATATTTTGGATGTTGTATACTGAGATACAGTTACTATTGTTATTGTGAACAATATAAATGCCTAAAATACTTCAATTTTCTTAAATATGAATTGAATAGAGGCGGTCAAAATTTAAAATTCATTTTCTGGTTTGTTTACGTTTTGGACATAGGCCCATTTCAAATGTTACTCTAGAATTCATTCATTCTTTCCAATGCCAACGCCTGTTTGCTGCACTTGAATTAGGTTTTGCACCGTCGGGGTTAACCTCAATCTGATGACAGTTCAGTGGTACTGTTTACGTGGACTTAGCTGATTTTTTCTTGGGTAGATTTTCTCGATAATTTTTTAGACTGCAGTGAGATGTAAACCACATATCTGCAATGTCCACGAGCAACGTCCTTTCACCGCTGTTCCTCGACAATTCTCGCTTCACTTTTCAAATAGACCAATGTAACAAATGTAAACAAATCGAGTTAAGCGATTCAAGCTATTGCTCTTCTATCATTGTATGTGATACAAAAACACCCATCCAAATTTACTTTCATTGATTTAAGAAAATCATTGATCAAAAATTGTCCAATGTACAGTTTGAAATGATGGTTACTTGATTGTTACTTCGGTCATTCGGACTGCCTAACATGATTGGTGCTCATTTTCCAAAGGCGGGGCCAATCTAAAGTTAGATACTATACTCTGAAATCTGTGAAAGGGAATCTAGTATCATGTAGACAAAACGTCCAATGTAACACTCATTGATTATGTCATTGAGAAAAATCGTCCAATGTAACATGTCCGATGTACAACTCGACTTGTCAAAACGTCCTATGTGGTTTTTTCTATGTTGTAGCATGAAATTCAAAGTAAAATTGTGATTTTATCGTTTCTTCTGAATTTTCAACGTTATTATACACTGACTACATTAAAAATAGTATTGCAAAATGTATTGTTTTTAAACAGTTAAAATAATAATCTGTCGAACTTCAACTTCGATTTTCTCAAAATGGTGGATATGTTACATTGGTCTATTTGAAAAGTGACGCGACTAAGTGCTTGTAAACAGTACCACCATAGAGGTAACTCTAAGACTAGAAGGTCCCGAAATAACGTGCTCAACTTTTTGGCTTAGCTCTGGTACTCTCTTCGGTCCCAAGCTAATCGATTCACCCCTCGAAACATAGACAAATCCACTAACCCCTCATTTTATCTGTCAAATTTTCATAGCGAATCAAAACAAACATTGTGTGGTACTAGAATTTTGACTAGAATGGGGTAAGTTAATCGATTTGCTTGGGACCAATAGGCTAGTCAAGTAGTGAGCCAATTTAAAATCGTTAGTTTCGTATTGATTGTTGGTACCACTGAACTGTCAAAAAGGTTCAGCCGGCTAACACTGAGTTCATTTATGACGTCACGCTGCAGTACCTATAATTAGGTTTTGCACCGTCGGGGTTAACCTCAATCTGATGACAGTTTAGTGGTACTGTTTACGTGGACTTAGCCGATTTTTTCTTGGGTGGATTTTCTCGATAATTTTTCAGACTGCAGTGAGATGTAAACCACATTTC